AGAAAGAAAGAAAGAAAGAAAGAAAGAAAGAAAGAGAAAGAAAGAAAGAAGGAAAGAAAGAAAGAAAAGTAAAAGAGAAGAGAAGAGCAAAAAATCTCATAATGTTTTAAGAAAGTTTACAAATTGTGTTGGGCTAATTCAAAGCCATCCTGGGCCACGTACTGCCCATGGGCAGTGGGTTGGACAAGCTTGGGCTAGAATGTCAGCATCTACCAGCTGCAGGGTAATACAGCTGGTGGGAGTGATTTCTGTTATCTAAGTCTATTAAAAGACTGTTTAGTTACTACCATTTTTTGGTCCAGCATGGGAGCAGAAACCATAGGGAACACAAATGGAATATGTCACGGCACTGCCCCAGAGGGCTGCAATTTTTGTTTGCATGTACAAGTTAGGGATCTGGTGCTCAAGGTTAACCCTTGGCTAAACTCAGTGATGGAGACCTCAGAAAGCCGTGAACATACAGCTCTTGCTGTGGCTGCGGTGCTGTGATATACACAGCGCTGTACAGTTTGTCTAGAGGCTTAGGTTTCTTCCCAGCAGTAAAACCTTGAGCAAATCAGAGAACCAGCCTGAATAGACAGATCAAGATCTTTCTTCTCACGACAACCACAACTCATGGAAGTTTTGAAATGGTTTCTCTATCTTCCTTCCCTCCTTCCAGATGAGTAAACTGGGGCCCACATGGGTTAAGGGTTGCTGTCCTGCTGCTCCCTTAGCTCAATTCCATAGCCGATTGAGTGGCTATTCACGGGGCTGTCTGATGTCAACTCACAGGAGAGGGTCTCAACAGGAAACCCTCTCAATGGAGTTTGTCCAAAACAACTGCAATTAACAACAGGATGAGATTCTTGCAGCAAGTCATGCTGGTCTTCTCACAAAGCAACATAATAATGACCTTGTTATAAACGGTATTTAACTCAGGCTCTAGACATATATAAAAGGAATGCAAACTAGCTAGAGAAGAGAGCCTATGTCCTTTGAGCCTATAGTTTTGTCAAAGGATGAAAAACTGGAGTTCAAAGTCATAGAGGTTCCTCTCCAACTGCAAACATTTTGCTATGCAGACCTCATGCTTGGAAATTAGGAAAGATATGAGGACTGAAGCACTTGGGTTATTTTAGTCATTTTTCAGAATCATACATTTTAATGTCTAGGACATGAAAATCTAAAACTGGCTGCCAAGAAGTTAACATCGATCAAAGTTAACAAGTCTTTTTGCTTGTGTGATGTCTTCGATCACAATGCTTCTAGTCTTCAGAACTAGACAAGGATTTCACCTTAAAAAATGGCTAATACCCAGTTCACATCAATCAGCACTGCCTGTGACAGAAAGCAAGCCAGCACTGTAATGACCCGGAGTACCTTTTAAATCAATACATCATTATAAAGATAGAGAATTTAGGAACTAGAAATATCTTAGGCATTATTGAGTCTGGTGCTTTCATTTTGGAGATGAGGAAACCAAGGACAAAGGGTGTAATGTTGTAGGATATAGGATTCGTATAGAAAAAAAAAAAAAACCTATGAATTAAGTATGCAAGGACGAGGATGTCAGTGGAGATTGGCATTCAGAGCTTCTATCTCCATAGACAGTGGATTCCCACAGGCTTGCTCTCTGGTTTTTTATGCTGATCCTACCAGAATGCCCAAGTCTTCTGCCCCAGCTAGCATCTGTTCCCATGTAGCCCCCCAAGGAAACAGACCATCTTACCTGATGCCCACGCCTTCCTTTTTCTCCCTTAGGGCCTTGGACATAGCTATTAGTTCCAGGATCCCCCTGAGAAAATAAAGGGTTCATTACCTCAAATGGACAGAAAAGAAAAGAAATTATAGGAAGAATTATTTATAACAAAACAAAACAAAAAAATAAGGTACAACTGAAGTGGACCCTTTTTATTATCTGGACCTGCTCAAAAATCTCAGACATTTAATGCAATTAAAATTCCAACCTTTTTAAGAACTCAACTTTTCTGTAAGTTTTTCCCTCAAATCTCTTATTTGTTGTAATACTAAGATAAGGTGAGCAGATGCTTTATTAAAGAATAATGAATTGCTCTTTGCCTTTGTGTCACGAGCAAACAGTTCTCTAGTCCCTGGAATTAAAGTAGCAGAAATCCCCCAACATCACTCACAGGATCTCCCCTTAATCCAGGCTCTCCACGCTCTCCAGGTTGTCCTGGCGGTCCCGTCAAGCCCTGAAATCACGAAGAAAAAATGTGTCACTTTGAAAAAATGACATATTGCCTAGGGAGAAGAGAACATTAAGAGGGAAAATAAGAATCAAATGAAAAGAGCAACTTAGTACCTGAATTTTAAAGCATTCACTGCCAAGGAGGTGAGATTGAAAGGTAAAGAAGGACATACTTTTACTGGCTATCTGCTATGTGCTCGGACCTAGATGTGTGTTACCTCATTTAACCCTCACAACTCAGGAGTTCACCGATTTGCATTATGCAGGACCTGAGATTCTAGGAAGTTGGGCCTAGGTCTCCCTACCATCAAATTCCTTGATCTTTCCACCCCTTGGTGATGCTCCACACAGAAACACATGTTGTTGTTGTTGTTGTTGTTGTTGTTGTTGTTGTTGTTTAAAAAGGGGGTGGTGGTGAGCAGAGCTTTCTCCATCATGAGCATGGGCAGCAGCGGTAGAGCAAGATCTCATGAAAAAGAGAAAGGAGAGAACAATGTTTCCAGAGCTCCTGACTACGGCAGATCGGAAACCAGAGAGGTGAAGAAACTTGTCATAGGGCTGTGACATAATAAGTAAATGATGCTTCCCTTAAACCCTGCCGTGATCAGTGCCATTCCTGTGTAGTAGTGCCTACAGAGCCATGAACTGGGGAGAGGCTCCACCACAGGTGCCTTCCTCAGATGACATCACGTGCCTGGAGCTGGAGGGTGCGTATGATGAACAGATGGGATCACTGTTCTATAGCTTTCAGACACAAAGGAAATAAAATGTTCTCTAGACTCCAAAAGAAGCCACCTCATAATCTTACTTGAGATGCCTCCTTATCTCTTTCCTGGCCTAATATAATGGTAAAAGGGAGCTAGATAACTCTAGGTTCCAATCCTGCTATTTAATTTCCTACATAGGCAAATTTCTTTGACTTCTCTGAGACTCCATTTTCTCATTTGTGAAACAGATATGCCTAACTTACAGAAACAGTGTAGGGATTAAATAGAAGAATAAATTCAAGTGGTTAGGCATATGGTTCCTATTATGATTCACCCTACTTCTAGACCCCCGTTTATCTGACCCAGTCACTGGACTCTCAGAGTAATCTTCCAAACCTACAGCTTCCAACATGTGTCTTCCTTGCCTATAAACCTTCGATAGCCCTTGATTACTCAGCAGAAACAAAACTCCCAAACGTAGCATTAAATTGACTCCAAATTGCCCTTCAGGCTTTCTCCCCACTCTTTATACTTTTTATTTTATCCTCAACTCCTATGAAATTAGGATCCTTATTTTTCCAAACCTATCATGATTTCTTCTAACTCTAACCCTTTCCTTGAGCCTTTTTCTTAAGCTAGAATACCCTGTGTCTCTCTCCCAGTCCCTCTCACAGAGGTCTGAGTGAAAAATGTCTTGATTTCCTGCATTGTCTGGAAAGCTGGAGTCCTCCCCACTCTTGGGCACCTGCTCAAATGCCACAGGGCCTTAGTATAGAAGTTGCTCTCTTGCCTCCCTCTGTCTTCCTTAATTGTTACCTATCTTTTAAATTTCATCCCATCTTCACGTCCTCAATGAAGTCTTTCTGACTGCACAGGCTGGGTCAAATCCCCTGTCGTATTCCTCTCCATACCCTTATCTCAGCAGTAATATTATATCTATTTCCAGGATTATTTCATTCATGTCTGTCTTTTCCCATAGAGGCCAATCTTAAGATGCAGAGCCCATGTCTGTTTTGTTACCCATTCTAGAATCATGTCTTGATTACAATAGATGCTCAATAATTTCTGATGATTGATCAAATGAAGAAAAGGGAGTCTACTTTAGTTTCCTCTCCAAGTCACTGTGCTCCCATTGGTTCTTTATTTGCACCATTGTTACATCCTGTAGCTTATCGTAAACACTCGACAGGTGTTTATTGAATTTAACTAAATGTAGCTGAAACTGAAGGCTCTCCGGTGTTAAGAAAGTATGGTATCTCCCACCTTTCCAAAGTCTGATCCATAAACTTCAAGTTAGAAATTAAACCTCAATAAAGAGCCATGTCTTCTGACTCTCCCTGTTTCACCCATCAGGAATTCAATCCACATCATTAATTGTTCACCCTTGGAGTAAAAGCATTAGTCTAATTTCATGAGGAGTACAAAGAAGCATAAGCAAATAAATTACACCCTTTATGTCTAATCCTATCAATCAATGGAAGCTGACCATAGTACTGTGTTGAGATGAATCCTTCAGCCATGTTGGATCCCATAATTGGTTAGTATGTCCGCCATGGGCACAGGAAGGGAAGGTTGTGGGACATATGCTAGGTATCTGCCATCCCTTACGTGGAAACAGAATTGCCATCAGGAGGAAGTGTGTAATCACTGTCAAACGATAGTATAAATAATTGCAAGGATGTAGAGAAGGCAAAGATCACTACAAACTGACATGCCAAGGAAGCTGTTGTGAGGAAGAAAAAGAGGAAAAGTGATATTCAGATTAAGCACTGAATATGGAAGCAAGAAAAAGGCATTCCAGGAAAGGCAGCTGGCATGAGCAAACACACAGAGGTGCGCATGCATAAGCAACATTTCGGAGACAGTGAGCCTGGGAAGATATTTCTTGACAGAGATTTGTAAAGAATGTGGTTGAAAGGCCTTGGATGTAACACTAAATCACTGGTGACAGGGAGCCATGAGAAGCTTGAGAGATAGGGAGTGACATGATCACTGTTCTCAAGCACAAAATGTTAAGTCATAGGACTTACATTAGTCATTCCACCATCAGCAGAGTCAGACCTTAGGTGAAGCTTCCAAACAGCTATCTCATATTAATTGCCCTTTAGCTCTCCATTTAACTCCATAGGATTTAAGCCACTAGATGATTTTTTTCCCCACAGTTTCCCACATTTTAAAAATAAACTATCCATATCAGGTTACTCAATAGGAAAATGAAAGAATATCATCATACTTTACCCGATTTCCCCTATTTCCTTTTTCTCCAGATGACCCTGGGATTCCACGATTACCCTAAAAAAAGAAAAATGAACATACAGACAACCTGTCTTTTATTAGTCCCACTAAAATTTTTCTTTATGTATTTTCACAATCCTAGCCAAGAGTAGAAAGTACCTTTACTACTCTATTTCTGACAATATGACAGATTAGATGTTTTGAATAACCCTCCCACTGAAAATTTAAAATTCCAGATAAATTAAAATATATTTCGTATACATTAAAAATCTGATTTAAGGCCGGATGCGGTGACTTACGCCTGTAATCCCAGCACTTTGGGAGGCCGAGGCGGGTGGATCACCTGAGGTTGGGAGTTTGAGACCAGCCTGACCAACATGAAGAAACCCTGTCTCTACTAAAAATACAAAATTAGCCAGATGTAGTGGCACATGCCTGTAGTCCCAGCTACTCAAGAGGCTCAGGCAGGAAAATCACTTGAACCCGGGAGGTGGAGGTTGCAGTGAGCCGAGATCACGCCATTGCACTCCAACCTGGGCAACAAGAGCAAAACTCCATCTCAAAAAAAAAATCAGATTTTAAAAAATCCTTATGGTTTATAATAAGGAGAAAGCAAAAATGCAGGCAAGTAGCGCATGGCAGTCCTAAGAGCTTCTTGTAATTGTGTGTGTGTGTGCGTCTGTGTGTGTGTGTGGTGTGTGCATGTGTGTGTTGCGGGGAGCAGTGTGAAGGGCCTCAAGCTGACAATTTATTTTAGGGTGGTCCCAGAATGTAGTGCCACTAGGAACACATGACAGAAGCAAACAACCTCAACTCAGGCCCTAATGATGTCTCACAGACAACGTTCCATCAAAAAATGAGTTTAAATCAAAAGTCACAACACACATGAGGGAGATGCCATGAAGGAGAAGCTAGTGGAAACAACATACAACAAAATCGGACCGCAGTGACTGCAAATATTGGGATTATAATATACTGAATGTAAAATGAGGATATTTAGTATGTTTAAATAATTAGAAGAGAATGAATAAAATAACCAACTATAAAAGGAGATCAAGTAGATTTCAGAAAGGATCAAATAGAACTACTTGAAGTGAAAAATATAATTAAAATTAAAAATTCAATTGACAAATTAAATATTATATTAAACACAAGTGAGGTGAGACTTAGTGAACTAGAAACTCTACAGAAATTATACAGAATGCAGCACAGAATGACAAAAAAATAGAAATATAAAAGAGCAGTTAAGAGACATTGGGGGCAAAATGAGAAGTTCTCACAAATTTCTAATTAGATTTCTGCAAAGAAATAATACAGAAAAAAGGAAAAAATTATCATTTTGAAATTAAGTCCTGAAGATTTCCAAAATTGTAAGAAACATAAACACTCAGATTCAAAAGACTGACAAGTCCCAACCAGAATACATAAAAAGTAATCCACACCTGGACACATCATATTGAAACTGTCAAAAACTAAAATCAAAGAGAACATTTTAAAGCAGCCTTATGCATTTTAAAAAGTTGCTTACAAAAGAACAGTTATTTTGACAGATAATTTCTTAATGGCAATAATGAAAGGTAGAAGACAATAGAAGCCAGAAAACTATGAAATTACATTTTCCTTTTTTTTTTTTTACACTCTGAGCAGCAGCATTTACATCTTTTTTCCAAGTCTTTTCTTTTTTTTCTTTTTTATGATACTTTAAGTTCTGGGGTACACGTGCATAATGTGCAGTTTTGTTACATAGGTATACACGTGCCATGGTTGGAATTACATTTTCACGGTGCTGAGAGAAAGTAACCGTCAACCAGAATTGCTTACCCACTGAACTATCTTTCAAAGAGATTTTCAGGAAAAAAAAAAAAAAAACAAGAAGAGTTTACAACGAACTAACCTTTAGAATTTCATTAAAGGAAATTCTAAAAGTTGTGCCTTAAGCAAAAGAAACATGATTTTTTCATGTTCTTTTGAAGGTATCAGTGACTACAAGGAAGGCATCAGTCAGATGAGTAAACACGAGGGTAAAGCTAGATAAGTATTGACTATATAAAACAACAATAAGAATGTGTAATTGGCAGAATTTAACAAAAATAAGATGGAAATAAAATACTATACAATAATATGTAACATGGGAGGGAGTTGATTAAAGTTTCTAGAGTCCTTGTATTTTGAGGATGAGGAAAAATACATAGATTAACATTAAACATTGTTGAGTATACATGTTAAAAATTCTAGCTAGTCATGAAAAGGTGTACTCTCCATAGGAGTATAAATGCCAGGTTAACAGACAGGAAGACATTAAATGAGAAACTTCTGCACCTGTTCTCCATCCAAGCCATCAACTCCTTCCTCACCAGGGTTGCCCTGTGAAGCAGAGGAGAAACAGGTGTATGTGAATATTTCTTTGACATTGATTTCTTTGCTAATATTTTTTCAATTGATACAGAATCTAGACTCTGTAACACTTATATACTACACCCAGTTACTAAAAAGTAATGATTATTTTCTTCCTGAAATAGTTATTAGGGTTATATGCTGTTTTACCTCATAGCTTCAGGTGCTAAAAATGTGTATGTATTTTTTAACCTTAAAATTTGAGTGGATAAGAAAGACTCCCTTTAAACTTTTGCACTTGGAACAAGTAGCTGTTTCACAAGACCAAATGAAACACTGATTGTCAAATGCTAAAAATGGTCTTTTTGTCATTGACCTTCTTTAAAAAGATGGCAAATAGGCCTGAATTAATTAATTTAATGGAAACCTGGTAGTTCACAGATTAAGGAGGAACTAAATGGGTATGTGTGCATTTGGGGAGATAAAAATTTAAAAAAAGAAAGGAAGTGAAAAACTGAGGTTAATTAGGAGATAAGGGTAAAACTGGGCAGTGAGTGGCATGGTGACATCTCATCAAATATTCCATCACTTTCAAATTGTGGGCCCTTCATTTTGCCAACTATCCCAAAATGACCAATAATATATTCATTACAAAGAATCTTTTAAAGAAAAAGCCAGAGTTTCGCAAACAAAATAAAATGCATTTACATGTGTGAAATAGTTGATTTACTCCTACTGTCTACAAAAGAAAATCAAGTTTCAGGCATTTTTTTAACCAAAGTACAGCTGAGTTATACATAAAAATAAGTACACCAAACTCTCGGACTAGAATTACAAGGAATGCATATTTGCCACAGGCCGCAGGAGGTTAATCGGTGATACCAGAAAACATGGATAAGGAAGTTCCATGAGCCCTTGTCTGTCTTTTTCATCATTTTGTAACCACTCCCTAGGGTAATGTGGGGAACAGAGTGGGTACCTAATAAATACTTTTTGAGTGAGTGAATCAGCAAATGGATACTATGGTTCTGAATCTGAGTGTAAATCATTCCCTTCTCCTGCCAACTCCTTTCCTAACAACCTCATCCCAGCACTCCTCTTCCATTTGACACCCATCTTGACCAGACCCAACCCACTACACCCTAGATTCAGGACCAACACTTCTAGACCATCATGTGATGAATACGGTGGCCCAATTTGTATGTAGAGTCAGCGAGGCTTGAAAACAATATGTCATTGCCTTAAACCTGAAATACATGTCTTACAAATAGTCACTCATTAGCATGGAAGTTTGGCTATTAATATCCTCTGACAAATTCTCTTGTCTAAAAGTCTGAAGCCTCACCTCACTCAGGCAAAGAAATGTGATTGAAATAAGTATTGCATTTCCCAAAGAAACTTTTATCCAGTTTAAGAAGGGTAAAGGAGATAACCTACCTTCTCTCCTGAAAATCCTCTTGCTCCCTAAAGTTAGAAAGAGATCAAAAGAATTGAGCTTGAATGAGATTTTTAAGCCTTGTTTCATTTAGGAAACCATATGTTCCCTGGTTTGAAGAAAATATAATTACAATACTAGATCAAAATGAAGATGCCTTGTCTGGCAAGTGTGGTGGGCATTACAGCATCCTGGTTACTACTACCCTCCTTTGCATGGAACCTGGAGAAAATTGCACTTTGCAACTCCTCACATAGTAGGAATGAAAAGGAACAACCCCTTATTAAATGCCCCTTATTAAAATGATGATATTTTTCAAACAAAAGTGAGAATACATTGGCTAGCAAGCATGAGAGGGCTTCAAGGAACAACAGGAAAAATTAATTGAAAGAGAATTTTGATAGGTATACAGGATATGGTCATTGTGGTTAGGAAAACTCTCTTTAGGATTCTTAGATTGTAGAATTTTTTTTTTTTACTTTATTAAGAAAGATTCTCCAATCCTGGGCAGTTGAGGGACATTTAATGCAACCAGCCGAAAAAGTATACCTGTATCCCTTTAGCCTTTAAAACTTTAGTGTTCTCACATGGACACAGGGAGGGGAACAACACACACTGGGGCCTCTGTCGGGGGATGGGGTGAGGGGAGGGAGAGCATCAGGAAAAATAGTTAATGCATGCTGGGCTCAATACCTAGGTGATGGGTTGGTAGGCGCAGAAAATCACCATGGCACATGTTTACCTATGTAACAAACCTGTACCCCAGAACTTAAATTAAAATAAAAACAAAACAAAAAAACCTTTAGTGTTCTCAATCCTACTTCCAACCACCAGCACCTGTCACTCTTTTCTGAGGGTTTTTTCAGGGACCAGGGCCTGCTCTACCCACACGCAAGACAGGCTAAAAGTGCTAGGAACTAATACCCACTGGAAGCTGCCATTAACTAATTCCTGATGGGATTTGGTGTATAAACACCCCAGCTCCCTCACCCCTTAACTGGAGTACATTGAGATGCATGTTCAACTCTGGCTGCCAGAGTTCTTCAGTAGGATTAAGCTCCATCTACCCACAGAGATGATCTGATTGATAACGTACCCTTTTCAGGCCTCCTTTCCTCCTTATCTCACTTCCTTACTTCCCTACTAATGCTTACTAGAATTATCTCCCAGTAAAATACTTGCAATTGACTCTTTTTCTCAGGCTTTACTTCTGGGAAACCTTTAATCTGAGGAGGAGCTAAGACTCCATAGCTATGTTTAAGAATTATGGTTTTCCTCAAACTCAAGGGATGAAGCCAAGAAAGAGAAAGAATCCCACAGCTCAAGCTCCCACTCACCTTAGGTCCCCTCATACCAGGGCATCCTTCCTCACCTCGGAGTCCAGGAAGACCCGGGGGGCCTCGTTCTCCCTGTGGAAGAAGAAGACATGTGAATGCACACAAGCAACTGTCTCTGTCACCACCAGCCAATTCAAGCCAGCAATAAGGACCTTCAAAATGACCAAAAAAAGACTTGGTTCTTGCGGTTGCTTTTACAACCTCAAAGACCTGCTTAGGTCACCTCCAAGGCACTCAGATTGTTAATCCGTCAACTGCTCATAGAGATGACTCCAAACCATACAAACTCAAACTATCTGCATTTTTAAATCAATTCAGTTAAGTCATATGGGCAAAACTTCAGAATTCAGATAAAACAGAAGGTCTGTCTGAACATTTTCTTCAGTCAGCTGAAATTGGATGGAGGTTTCATTGTGGTCCCTCAAGGAATAAACCATTATTTGACCCTTTCTCTTCCAGGTGAATTCCTACCCGTTCCTAAGATATAGGTCCTGTGTCACCTTCTCTCCTGAGAAGCTTTTTCTGTTGACCCCACCCAACTGTCCCTTCAGATTCCTTGTAGTATTTGGAGGATACAAATCAGCACATATCATAGTGAAATGTGGTTTTACACATCAGAATCTCCTGCTATATTGTGAGGTTCATGGAGACAAAGACAATGTCTCATTTCTTTATCGCTGCATTTCTAGCCCCAAACACAGCATCTGTCATCATACAATAGATATTCAACCATGATTTGAAGAATTACTTACTGAATTATATTAATAAATGTAACCTTTTCATCTCGGTATTAGATTAGGAAGGGAATGGTAGATATCATGCCTTTTGCCAAGTTGATTAAATATTAATTGGAAAGTACTGCACGTCACATGAGCTTTAATCAAAAGACAGTCTACATTTGTAATATCTAACTTTGACTTAATTAGGTTGATAACTACATATGCTGTTCAGGACAGTAAAAAGGCACACAATAAAATGAGAAGAACTACGGATCTAGAATGAAAGGGCGTGTATTTGAGTCCTAGTTCTGCTTCCAGCCTGTTGTGTGAGCTTAGACAAAAGCATATGATGTCATGAATCACAATTTTCACCATTTATAAATGTGGATCTAAATAATACTGACTCTAGTCATCTCATAGGATTGTTCACTGAATGTATGATGCTGTATTGGAAATACTTCACAAAGTATATAGATTGAACAAATTAGGTATTTTATACTTAGATAGCAATAGATAATGAGAAAAGCACAGCTTCTGGCATCAGGAAACAGTTTTGGACACATCTGCAACCCTCTCCAACCTTAACAAGGCCCTTACTCTCTCTGAGTTTCTACTTTCACATCTATAGAACGAAAGTATTAACACATACTAGCACAGTTGCAATGAAGATTAAATGTGATAATAAATACAAAATGCCTAATGCAGGGCTTCACACACAGTAGATGCTAAGTAAATGTCTTTTCCTCCCTTCTTCCTAGTCTATCTGTATTTTTAGCTTTAATGTGTGGTGTTTAAGCTTCATCCGGAAAATGTGATCCTAACATATCTACTGTACTATATTGCAACGTATAGTGCTATCAGTTGTGTTTATTAGAAAATAGTTGATATATACAAAACAAATGTTCTTGATAAAAGCAGAAATATCAAGGAAAAATTTATTTTTAACAAAACTAAAAATAAACCCACTCAGCATGGCTACTATTAAAAAAAATAAAACAGCAGAAAATAACAAGTGTTGACAAGGATGTGGAGAATTTGGAACATTTGTCCACTGTTGGTGGGAATGTAAAATGGTGTAGCTGCTGTGGAAAACAGTATGGCAGTTCCTCCAAAAATTAAAAATAGAATTATCATATTATCCTGGAATTCTACTTCTGGGTATATATCCAAAAGCATTAAAAGCAAGGTCTGGTAGAGATATTTGTACAGCCATGTTTATAGTAGCATTATTCATAAGCAACCCAAGTGTCTGTCAACAGATGAATGGATAAACAAAATGTGGTGTGTCTATATATAAATACAATTGAATATTATGCAGCCTTAAAAAGGAGGAATATTCTGACACATGCTAGAACATGGATGAATCTTGAAGACATTGTGCTAAGTAAAGTAAGCCAGTCACAAAAATACAAATACAGTATGATTCCACTTATCTGAGGTACCTAGAGTAGTCAAATTCACAAAGACAGAAAATAGAATGGTGGTGACAGAGACTGGAGGAAGAGGGAGTGAGTGTCTGATGTATACAGAGTTTTACTTTTACTAAATGAAAAGATTTCTGGAGATGGATGATGGTGATGGTTATACAACCATGTCAATGTACTTAATACCACTAACCTGTACACTTAAAAATTGTTAAGATGGTAAATTTTATGTTATATGTATTTGACCACAATTAATTAAAAAGAACATTGTGAAGAAAAAGAAATGAACCTACTCTTGGGACTTCTATTCCCAGTTTCTAAAATTTCAGTTGCTGTACACACATAATTATGTGTTTACACAAAATTAATCCTCAGGAAAAAAATACATATATATAGCAGTCTGAAATTACAGTCCCCACAAAGCTGTCACAATTTCTCGTATTTCAGAGTACTCTCTCCATTAGTTTACTTTGAACAGCATGGTACTGACGCACCATCAGTATCAATTTGAAATGTTTATGAAATGCTGTGAAGGTCACCCTTCAGGTCAGTTACCAAAAAAAGGAGGTAAAGAAATCTAACAGAAATGTATTTATTATATTTCAGGTTGAGACCTTACAATTGCAAATGTTGAATGCCATGCAAATAGGACTTTTAAAAGTGACTTTTATAGGCAACTGAATTCATGATTATATTGTGGCGACCATAAAGAGAGAGTTTTACAAGCTAAATGAGGCAATGGGTTTTTGGAGCTGTAAATAAAGTTTACAGTGACAGACTTCATAAATAGACTTAAAAGTATTTTATCTTAAACAACTTAGGCAGAAGTAAACACAAAACACTATAGAAAACTGAAATGTTTCCAAAATGTGGCTCTAGTAATAACAAAGAAGTTAATATAGAAACTACATGGGAAAAGTTTTTAATAAATTGATTTGATAAAGTATGAAAGAGAGAAAAGCAGTTTTCCTAATGTAATATATAATTACACCTAATGAAAGACTTTAAAATGCTTACATATAACTAAATTAAAATATAAATATTTTATTTATATCAAAATAGACATTTGCCTGTTTTACCTATATCCCTAAAGGTTTATACTTTCTAATTGAGCAAAAACATTTTTTAGGATGTTCATATGAAGAAATGAAAACTGTATTTTATATATGGGCCTATATGCTAAATGGTTTGGAGAACCAATTTTCAGTTTATTGTATTTCTAATTCAAATACTAAACTCTATAATGTTTAAAAATTGGTCTCTCATCTACTCACAGTATTTGCTTAAAGCTATAAATAATAACCATGATTTAATGGAAAGACTAACACCACTTAAAAGTTTTCAAAGGCTTGGCTATTTTATGACAAATGGGAATAATAATAACAACATATATACATATGTGTATATATGTGTATATGTTATTATATTTCTATATGTTATATAAATATATATTTATAATATATATTATATTTATAATATATAATATATTATATATTGTATATATATTTATATATAATTATATATAATATATATTATATAATATTTATTTTATATAATATATATTATATAATATATAATATATTGTGTATTTTATATATACATAATACATTATATAATATATTATATATTATATATAGTACATTATATAATATATTATATATAATAATATATAATAAATATATATGATATATATAACATATATATGACACATAGAGAGAGAGAGAGAAGAAACTAAGAATGTTTAGCCCTATGTCTGGCATATATAAAACTGTCAACAAATGTTAGATGTTTTTGTTACAACAAAGTTACATAAATATTTTTGTGACCTTGGAAAATCTGACTTTGTTCTATAAATAAGGTTTTGCTGTGTAACCAATGCATAAGTTATTATTTAAACCACCCATTCATAACATATATATTTTTAAAGCCAGACAACAATCTCTCCCATTCCACATGCTCTCTGACCATGCCTCTCCTCCATGCTGGGGAGCAGTCCAAGTCTCCTCCTCTTGAACAGAGTCTGGACTCAGTGACTGGCTTGCAACCAACAGGATGAGAAAGCCATGTTACAGCCTGACTTCTGAGGCTGGGGCAGAGGCCTTGCAGCTTCAGCCTTGGTCTTTTGGAGCACTCACTCTCAGGACGGACCCTCCCTGCCGGAGTGCTTCCTATCGGTTCCAGCTCCACCTGTCCTTGTTCAGTTCCAGCTAAGATGCCAGAGCAGCAGACATGTGAGAGAAGGGGCAGTGGGTTCTCCAACTCCTGTTTCTAGAGCCCAGATGGTCTAGTCAACCCAGCTGAGACCTCAGGCATGGAGGAAAGAGGCCCCTCTTTTGCTTCTTTTCCAGTGTCCCCACCCACAGAGTCTGTGAACATAATAAAATGATTATTTTACACCACTAAGTTGTGAGGGTTGTGGAGGGCAGTGGGACTGTAAGTTATGGGTAACTGGAACAATGATTTAGTTATTTGTCCTTGTGTGCTTTCAACTTGAACCTACAAATTTATGGGCCCCATTCGGAAACTGGTCTGCATCTGCACAGAGAGGTCTCTGCTGTTGAGTAGACCAATCTGACCAGCTTTTCAAGCCAACAACATTAAAAGCCATTCAGAGGACAACACATTGTGAAGTCACCTTCTCTTGTGAGAAATGCATTAAAAAGAAACTAGAACTACTAGAGTTGTTCTGTCAAATACAGGGGCTATCGAGCACTTGAAATGTGTCTGGTCCAAACTGAGATGTGCCTTCAGTGTAAAGTGATATTTAGAAGACGGTATATAGAGAAAGTAAGGTGTCTCATTAATTTTTATATTAATTACTAATGAAATGATAATATTTTAGATATATTGAGATAAATAAAATATATTATTAAAATTAATTTCACCTGTTTCTTTTTACTTTCTTTAAGATAGCTACTACAAAATTTTAAATTATAAATGTCATTTGCATTATATTTCTAGCCCTGTACTAAAGGGTCTTTACAAAATATCTTGGTTTTATAATGTTGGCACAGTAAAGAAGGGGGACAAAACCATCTTTCACCCTAGAATTTGGTTTCTTCTGTTTGTCTGAAATTGGAGTCAATGGTCCTAATGGGTGGAATGGACCTTACGTCATTCTCCTAAAGTTGACTGGGCTCATTGAACCACAGACCAGGCAGAAAAAATAAAATAACACTTAAAGGACATTTTTAAACATAATAAAAATGGGAAGGAATATTTTCATTATTTCTAAATAAAATAGCAAAAATCCATCAATCACGTTCCTGAATGTATTTCTAACACCTAAGACTACGCTTACTTAGGAAAAATAAATAGAAAAATTGAACAATTATCTTGTAAACATAAAGAAACGTGACTCTGTCTCAAAAAAAAAAAAAGAAATGGATGAGCTTACATGGGTTTCAGCAGCTACATTTTCCTCTGATTTCTGCTTATTTTCCAACACCCTAAATGTTCAGAATAATAAAACAACGTGCCACTCTAAGTGGAGCAATGACAACATAGATACCAGTGGTTCAGAAAGCGTGGTCAAAGGGCCCCTTCTGTTTCCAAGATACTTTTGGGAGGGTCACAAAGTTAAAGTTATTTTTCCAATTACACTAAAATATCTTTTTTTTCATTCTTATTCTCTGCCAAGTATGTGGTAAAGTTATCAAGAAGCCACATGGCAAGTGGCATCACCACAGACTGAATACAGAGACAGATTGGAAATTCAGCTGCCTCCTAATAAGCTAAATATGCCAAACAATGCTGCTTTCTCACTAATATTTTTTGTTTGGGAAAATACAGTTATTTTTCATGAAGAAATATGTCATGAGTGTTAACTTTAGTGAGTTTATTGTTGTTATTTTGTAATAAGAAACAATTTTTAATATTCTTAGTTCTAATTTCTAATATGGTAAATAATAACACATGGAAACCATATAAACAAAAGCTCTTCAAGGTTCCCAATAATCTTTAAGAGTGTAAAGGTTGAGGGGTACAGGAAATGGAGAGATTTTGGTTAAAAGGTACAATCTTTCAGTTACAAGTTAGTAAGTTTGGGGGTTGTAATGTACAAGATGATAATTATAGTTGATGATACTATACAATATACTAGAAATTTGCTAAAAGAGTAGATGTTAAATGTTCTTGCCACATACAAAAAAATGGCAACTATATGAGGTGATGGACATGTTAACTGACTTGACTCTAGTATCATTTCACAATGTATACATATATATCAACTCATTATATTGTACATCTTAAATTATACAGTTCTATTTGTCAATTATACCCCAATAAAGTTGGGGTGGGGGGAAGAATATAATGGCATCCTTAGGCCAAAATGTTTGAGAACCAGTGGTATATACATGAATCAACCTAAAAATAGGAACCGGTGGCAAAGTGGTTTTCCATAATTCAAAATTAACTGAAAACCATGGGATTTAAAAATCCTTCCATTTATATTATGTATCCATTTATATTATGTAATAAAGATGGATATTTATAAATAAATATATCCATTTATATTATGTAATAAAGATGGTCCCTATCACATCCCAGTCCCCTAGCTCACAATTCTCTCTATAATATATATTTTCTCCACAGACAATCACATGACTGATAGATAACTTGTGTTTGCCAAGCATATCCCCAGGGGTGTGTCCAGAGTTACATGCAAGCCATCAGTGGCTAACTATAACTCCACCACCTTCTCAGCCACACAGGGAAGCATCTGAGTGACCTGTAGTAAGAATGGTCTTAGATTCTCTCCAATTATTTTGTTAACCATTTACAAATATAGACAGCTTAGTAATAGGAACAAATTATCTGCAATTTAGCTCATGATTAACAACTACTTTGACATCCACGCACACTAGACACAGACCACATTTTCAGTTAGTTCAAATTCACTGATTAAAAAATAAAACAGCCATACCGAATCATTAATGCATTCCAGAAACTATATCTTTAAAAAGCAGATCTGCCTGGAATTTATTATAATAAATGTCTATTTTTTATATATATATATATTTTTAGACCCACCGTAAGTGGCATAGATGAGAAAAACTTCCATGACTTAGGTGCAGTTAAATATTGCCAATATTTGATCCATTTTGCCATGTTCTTTCAAAGTAAAGAAATAACATTCAATACTTACATATCTGCCTTCTTCACCAGGATGACCGGGTAACCCATCAAAACCCTTCTCTCCCTGAAAAGACAAGAAGTCAAAATAAATAACTTGGCCTCTAAATTATTTGTTTCTCAAATCTACGTGAAATAAAAATTGTTACTAATAGATACCCTTGTCTCACAGAGTTGTCATTTTATAGAGAATCTACTAAATATCAGGCACAATGTGCAGAGATGTACAGAAACAAATATTCTTGTCCAGTGTTACAGTGAAAACATGCACACCTGTTTGTCTTAATAGTCAGTAATCAAACTATTCTTATTTTCCAAAATCCCTTCTTAAGTCATTCTGTTGTAAAAATCCAAATCAAGACTAGCTTCTAGTTAAAAGCTTAAGGAAAACTGTTACTCTTAAAGAAGCTTTCAACCTTGTTTACAAAACATCAGTAAGCAAAGGTCTTCCTGACTATCTTATTCATGAGAAATGGTTGTTTATTTCTGTGTGACTCAACTGTCCAGTTTTGTTTTGTTTTTTACTTCTTCTTACACACCGAAACACACAAGCCATTTCCTCTTAAGGAAGTTTGGCTTGCCATGTTATAGTCAGATGTGTCTATTTAGTCTAAAAGCTGGTCAATAAGACCTGGAAGGCATATTTTATTTGTGATCAACAAAGATATAAAAGTCATTATGACCATCTACTGAATTCTTGCAAACAGAAACATCAGAGAAGTCAAAAAATTAAAATACTCCCATCTTTGGCCTTAGAGGCACAGGCACAAGCTGCAAAGAAACACATCAAGAAGCTCCCCAAACTCGATTTTCTGATTCTCCAATCTGTCCCGGTTAATGAATAACAACATGACAGGGAAAAATCTAATGCTAAGGCATGATTACAATTTATTTTTCAAACAGTAATTATAAACTTTATACTATTCTAAATTTAAAAGATTGATCTGCAAAGCCCTGAAGAGCTCATTCCAACAACCTCATGGAAAATCTTCCAAAGAAAACGTGTAAAAAGATGATACAAAGCCAGCGGGTATAACTTAACCTTACCTGTGTGTTTGTGATTATACCCTCATCATAAAGCTTCAGTCCCTGTGATTATGGAACCTTGCCAGCCCTGAATATCTGAGGACCATTTCTAACGAGATACTCTCCCTTAGAAGTGTTAAGTAGTAATTTTCCTCTTGGTTAACCTAGAGTTAACAGAGATGCAACTCTTTTCTCAGAGTTTGATGCTGTAGAAAAGAATGTTAGATGGGAAAGAGGTATTTACTACTGTAAAGAAAGCAGATGTTGGACAAGTGAAAATATGGTAGAAAAGTGAAAACTCCTGTGCAGTGGCAGAATTTGTGACATTATTTGTCAAACGACCACAAGAAGGTAGCATAATATGGTGGAAATCATGTGAGACTTAGAGTCAGGGAGACAAAGGGGCTTAACTCCCAAATGCATCTTCACAATGATGCAATTTTGGGAAAGTGATGTCACCTCTCTGAGCCTCAATTTCACACATGTAAAATAACATCTGCCTGAAAGTGTTTGTTAGGGGGGTAAAATTAGAAAATGCTGTTAAATACACAACAGAGTCTGGTATGTAGTGGGTACTAAAATATCGTCTCTCTCCTTTCCCCTATTCACGTCTGACAAATACTTACCTTCCTCCCAGAACTCCCATAATCACCTCTGTACCCATCCTCTCCAAAACATTTTGCGTATATATTGCAGCATGTTCTTTCCACAATTGTATCCTGAAAAACAGATCCATATCACATACTACTTTCTCATCTGTGTTAGTCTATATTACATTACACACTAAGAAGACAAAATTCTCTCAATGTTTTTAAAATTATTGTAATTAATAGAACTTAGCAAAGGATGGCGTTTTTAAAAAGTACTTACAAGTTGCTTCAGTAAGACGCTTGGGAGGGATTGCAGTGTGATGCTCAGAGGTTGCTTATATGCAAACCCTCTGCCAAATTCCAGCTCCTGGAGCTCTTCTAATTTATGGACACCTTCCAGGCCAATGATTAGGAGTCCAGAGAATCCTTCACAATTTCAACAGATGGGAGATTATGTTCATGTCTTTTGAATGATCTATCTTTGTCTCAGCCCCACGTATTCATCCATCATTCCACCATTCCCATAGCCTTCACTTGTCTTGTCTCAAACTGCATTTTGTTACAATTAAAACTAGTTTGTGGCATGCCTTCTTGAAGAATTGATCTGATACCTTTCAATCCCACCAGCTGAAAGTTAAGCAGAACCACAAAGGACTCTCATAGCTCTCTTATAGCCCCCATTTTGTCATTTCACAGATGGTTTCCAGCCCTCGTTGTATTAAATTACTTCCTTCTAAGCCTATCCCTGAAGTTGACTTTTGGTTTACACTTAGGAATTGTAGCAGTCACTGTGACTGTTCACAAATATGCTGGCTCCCCTTCTTAAGGGCACATGATAGGACTGCACTTCTTCAGTCAGGTTATCAACACTCATTGAACCTCAATTCCTTACCTGTAAAATATTATCTATCTCATGAAAGTTAAAAGTGACCATATGGCTCACTCTAGCTAATTAAATGAGAGCAGAAGTGACATATGTTAATCCCCAGGAGAAATTTTAAGAGTAGTACACAATTTGCCCATTTCCTTTCCCTTGCCACAGCAATTACAAAAACAGCTGTTGGGATATACCCTCCTTCAGCCTGGGTTTTTGAACGGTGAGCAGGAGGCAAAGATGAACCACTTCTTGCTACTTTAAGTCACTGAGATTTGGAGGTTGTTATTGCTGTATAATCTAGCCTATCCTACCAATGCAGGCATTAAGAGATCATCTGGATTTGTCCACAAAACAAAAATACAAATGAACAAGGGTATTTTGGAAATTCAACTAGAAATCACCTTGTTTGTCGAATTTCAAAACAAATATTACTGTTAATAGTTTGAATTAAAAAAATAAATAAATAAATAAATAAATAAATTTTAAAAAATAGTTTGAACAGTAAGTTCTTGGCACATACTCACAAATCAGCTTTTTGCTATGGTAAACAAGCAGCTTGAAAATTGTGTGGTTAAAAGTTGTGTACATATTCTTAATTATTCCTTAAAACTAAATTCTTTGAAATGGAATTTCTGATCTAGCATAGCATGTAAGCAAAGTTTAGTCTCTTGTTGCATACTCCCAAATCCCCTCCAGAAAACATGCAACAACTTAAACTTCCAGTGGCAATCTATGCAGTGAATTAAGATGGGAGTAAGTTGTCATAGAAAATATTCTAGCACATGATTAACCAATGGAAAACATCATCCCCAGCAAAATATGTTGAATATACTCGACTGAAGGGGAAAAGGGGTGAAAGGAACTTGAACAAGTTGCTGGTTGTTCATCCTTAGGTTGCTGGGCACAAAGTGGGAATGGTGAGAGCCATAGTGTACAGTTGAACAAGTTGTGCTGCGCAAGAACACCCATCTGAGAGAGCTGATGAATGGCCAAATCCAGCCAGCATACCCCTCACCACCCAGGAGCCCAATACACTTGCATCCACGCAGTGTATTGGATGTCTTTCTCTAATTGCACAAAGATGCCATATAGACTAGCTGCAGGAACTCTTGGAGATGGAGAAGGAGGAAGAATTAAGAACAAAGAGAGGGGAACTACAACGCAAAGAGCAGGGCCCAGCTTTAGACTGACTCCAGAGTTTAGGAGAAAATGACATATGGACCCCAGATTGGCCTAAAAGAACAAACAGCCCCCCTCACCATTGAAGTAGGAAGTGTACCTTCAACCTCCCACCCTCAAAAGCTAGTCCTGTCTGAGTCAGAAGACCCCTGGTCAGTGTCAGGGACACTGTTGAAGAAGGCAGAGAGTCTCAGCCCCAAAACATCCTCTGGCCCATACAAAGAAGGAGACGGGGCATCAGCCTCATGAGCACTGAGCCCCACGCACTGGGTGAGCACACAGGAAGCTTCATAGTGTCCAGTGCCATCTGGAGAGCTGAGTGCCTCAGTTCCAGTGGGAGGAGGGAGGCCCACACTGGGCAAGCCTATGCACTTACCTCTGCTGTGGAGAAACTCCGATGTTTTTTTCAGTCTCTTTAAATCATCATCCAGTCCATCTGTAAACACTAAAAGAACCTGTTGTTTATGAGAAAGGGGGTTGGCAGAGCCAGACAAGGAGGGAGGGAGAAAAGAGGAGTAGGAAGGAGGCAGGGTGGGGAAGGAAGAGAAAAGGAAGGTAGTAAGAGAGTGAGAGCAGGGAGGAAAAGGGAAGGGAGGGAAGGGAAGGAAGAAAGGGAAGGAGGGAGGAAGAAGGGAGGGAACAGAGGGGAAGGGGAGAAGGAATGCATAAAATGGATATTATAAATTGTACATTTACTTAAAATGCAAGAGTGAGTTTTTCTGGTTATGCCTAGCCTTTCACCCTGTTCCTTTTTACTTATTCTTTTATTACACATTCATCTTTATTTCAACCTCCCCATCCCCCTGAAAAAAAAGAGGATTTGAATCAGCTGAACTTATTTAAAAATACCTTCCAAAAATGCTTACAATATTTATCCTTATCAACCAAAAATACCAAAATATTAACAGAGAGGTGTGTGTGCATGTGTGGTATATGCAGTGTGGGCGGGGGTGGAGGGGAGGAGATGTGGGGGTGGTTATTGCTATTTTCTGTTATACTTTGTAATGTATTTTCTACAATTGAAATGTGTTTATTTGCTCATAAGAAATTTTTAATTTAAAACAGGAATAAAAAATAAAACGTGGATGATATTAGTCAAAAAATACATCCATTAAATGCATGACTAAAGGAAAAGCTAAATGTAAGTTATGAAGTTTGGGGATGTCATTTCCTAAAAACATCGCATAAAAGCTTTCCATCTCTGTGGGCTTTTGTGAGTATATAGTTCAGAGAAGAGCGGAAGGGAGGGAGAGGCTTGAGGGGTGAGCTGTACTAAATAGCTGTCACTAAAGACAGTTCAAGATGCTGACTGGAAAAATAGCAAGCCTACTCTAAATGGTAATGAGTGACCATAAAATGCTAAGGAGTCTTAAAACACCATCCAAGTTGTCTTGGAAATGAATTTATGTTATGGAAGAATATGAATCACTAAACTGTGGGCAATTTGAGAGCAGGGACTTTATTCTTATATTCCTACTAGCATTATTGAGCATAGAATCTCTAGGGCTTAAAAAATATTTGTTGTTGAATGAAAACACATCTCTTGTTGGTTCTTATTGGGTAACAGTATGGTTTTCCTCTGTGTAAGATCACCAATTAAGAACAATTTAGTTGGCCTCAGTCACAAAGCCTTGTCCATTCTACCCTACTTGATGGCTCCATAGCAAGGGTTCTCAGCATTTATTACCTTTACTTTAGCAGAAGAGAGATGAATAGCATTATCTCCCAAGGACTGCAAAAAGTTCACATCCATATTGTTATTCTTGGCAGCTTGATGAACCAAGAATTTCTGGATGATCTCATAACTGTATTTTTCAAAGCCTGAGTCAAAGATAAGTTTGCCATTTGAGCCAGGAACCAAGTAGCGGAATCTTGGGTTGATCTGATCAGGAATGCCACAGCTGATGTTAGAAAGCAAAGTCAACTGTTGCATCAGCTCTGGCAGTAACCCTTGAAGCTTCTGTTGAACTTGCTTTGAATGAGTTGAGATATCAATTCCTACAGACAAATCCAGGTTGCATCCTTGGAAGATGAAGAAAATAAAATTAGTCATCTGCAGATGCATAGCTGAGCCTAGAAGATATCAGCCAGTCTAGCCCTAAAAGACAAACCCGCCAATCCACCGTAGTATAAGCTAAATATTGGTAGCTTAAGTTTTGGGATTGTTTGTTACACAGCAAAAGCTAACTGATACAATACATACTGTCTCATAGTTTTATGCCTCTGCAGATCCTATTCCCTTTGCCTAAAGTGTCTCTTCCCATCTTCCCACCCCAGTCTGGTCCTTCAAGTAGTAGTAGTTCAAGTGCCTGCCCCACCCCACTCCCCAAGCACTCTCTGGTTCTTATCCCCACTTCCCCATGTTAAGTTATTAAATGCCCCCCCATGTCCATTGTTACTTTACTTGACCTTCTTCCCTACTAAACAAGGATTCCTTGATAGTAAGGACTATGCCATCTAATTTTCTAATTGCCCAATACAGATATTCATTAAATGTTTGATAAATCAATGAAGAAAAGCAATGAAGAAAAATCAAAAACGAAAATATAAACGAGCCTTGAGTCTTTTTCAACAATAACTGGAATTATTTCCTTCTTCCCTGAAAGTGTTTTTCCTCATTCACCACCCATGCCTATACCTTGTTTCAGCAGCATGGGAGCATATTAGAAAATGTCAGGAAAAAAATCACTCCCAATTTTCTGTATCTTATGTCTAAAAATATTTAAGTCCTCTTGGGAAGGTTTTCTCTGGAATTTGAAGGCCCATTAATATTTCAGGCTGTACCTATACACTTACCAGTATATAATAAAATTATGCACAAAATTCCACTAAAGATCAAAAGCTGATGGTCAGAGACACATCTGAGTTAGAATCTGGTTGGATGAATTAAAATGTAACAACCATAAAAGGGCACCTATTAATTACTTCTGCACAACAAGTATAACTTAGCACTGTCCAAGGCAATCCAGGACATGCAAACATTTTCTCCTTAGATCATCACACACTAGATTACATGATGATGTAAGGATCTGTGTCTGTAACAGAATGTGTATACTTGTATCGGAATCTGCAAGAACAGAACTACAGATGGGGAGGAACAATTTGAGGGAAAATAAATATGTAGTAGATCATTCACCATGGACACTAGCTTAAAGTTTCCCAAAAACCTGAGATCAGAGCTGAGCCATGAGCATTCAATCCCCTAAATGTCATACTCCACGCTAGCTGGTAAGATATATTTCTGTAATTGCCAAGACAGAAAATGCCTTCCTCTCCTCATTTCACATAAAATATCTTGGTTTGGTTTGGTTTTTTAAATATGTAATTCGAATTTATAAAAATGAGCTTTCACAGATGTAAATCCCATTTCTATATTGGACCTAATTTCAGAAAAAAAGGAATTTCCTTTTTGTAGTATGGCGTATTATTCCAACATTTCTAATTCACATTTTCACCAGGAACATTTCCAGCTGGCTCTGTTCTATAATTGACAAATGCAAGAAGCAATTTCCCTCCCTTTTAATGGAGAGGATTAAATCTTGCCAGGTAATCTCTAAGGTCTTTTTCAGGTTTATGATTCTAGAATTCTATCATTAATGAGAGTCTAGCCCTTATTAAAGTGTCTAACTAATTTCATCAAAAAAGTTAGAGACAAAGTTGAAGATAAACATAAATCTAACTTACTATCTGGGGCATAATAAACTGAAAAAAGAAGCTAAATCCTATATCTCTTCTCCCCAGTATAATATCTACCCACATAGAAACAAAAAATAGGACTTTGATGACTAAAAAAATCTGAACTACTTAATGTAGGGCATACCATAATTCACGCTTCTTTTAAAAATAATTGTCTATGTGCATTCTTTTCAAATGATTTTCAAATTTGGCTAGACTACTGCAAAGTAGTTATATTTTTTAGTCGATATAAGCAAAGATATTAATTTAATGTCCTAGAAAATCGGACTTCAAAGATTTGGTGGAATGCAGGGTTCTCATCTTAGTCCTCCAAAATTGAGTCTCTGTTTCCAAAATAAGACCTGGCCCAGGCCAGTCACAGTGGCTCAAACCTGTAATCCCAACACTTTGGGAGGACAAAGAGGAAGGATTGTTTGAGTCTAGGAGTTCAACCAGCCTGGATAACACTGGGAGACTTTGTCCCTACATAAAATTTTTTTAAAAAACGAGCCGATGTCCACTCCCCTGTGGCCCCAGCTAGAGGTGAGAGGATTGCTTGAGCCTGGGAGGTTGAGGTTGCAGTGACCTGGAATCATACCACTGCACTCCAGCCTGGGCGACAGAGTGAAATCCTGTCTTAAAATTTAAAAACAAAACAAAACAAACAAACAAAAATCTTGGCCCAAGTATGGCCCTAGTTTCTCATAGAGAGGCTTCATAGGCATACATAATGCCATAATGCTTAGTGGTTGGACTTTTGACACCAAACTGCTGGGGAATTCAAACCCTGCCTCTATTATTTCCTGTCTATGTTTCTTAACCTCTCCCTGCTTGTTTTTTCTTAATCTGAAATTGAGTATCATAATGATAGCGGCTGCTTCACGTGGGTTTGATGTGCATGTTAGATGAATGTATACCATCTAACACATTAGAAATAGTGCTTTGCATTCAACTTTCAGTTAAAAAAAAAAAGGAAAAAATAGTGCTACATACATAATGGAAAAAAACAAGTAAGAATCTTAATTGTGCCCCACCTGGAGCCTGCTCTGCCTTTAGAGTGCCAGTTAGATGGAATAAAATGTGTCCTTCTTACTTAAGTTTTCTATTACTTGTAGGCAAAAACATCCCACCTGATAAAATTATTTTTCTTAAAATACTGCTTGTTATCTCAGACTTGTGAGAAATCAAGTAAAATAAAGGATGAGAAAGTGCTCTGTAAATGTCAAAAGCCCATATTCTGCCTCCCAGCAGAAGGCTGAAGGTGGCAGGACCTCATCAAGAGGCACACAGTTAAGTAAGAACATAGAGGTGAGTAGCCTCTTCTTTTCAGCCTAAAACTACCAAAAAAAAAAAAATCTAGATCCAATTAAATGCACATCTATTTAGGGACATAACAACAAAATGATTTCCTTGTACACATGTTCACTTGAAGGAATTTCGCGCTTTATGGGTTCCATTATATATCCTTTGATATAATTCCATACTTTGCTATATTATACAAAGTTATACCATTCTATCACATCCTGGGCTATCATGTACCATACCATACCATACATACTGTATTTCACTATACTATGCTTTATTATGCTTCATTATACTATACTATACTATACTGTACTATACTACTACTCAAAGTGTGATGAGGACCTGCAAAATCTGCATCACCTGGGAGCTTGTTAGAAATGCAGAATGCTGATCTGCTGAATTCAGGATCTGCATTTTAACAAGATCCCTAGATGATTCAAATGTATGTTTAAGTTTGGGAGGCCTTCAATCATCCACTGAAAGGCAAGTCCTGGGGAAGAAAAGCAGACCCAGACTGTCAAAAGGAACAACCCCTGTCTTTGCGCCTTGCAGCTTTGGATAAAAACTTGAGGAGATGGAATGGGATTAAGGATGACCTTGGCCATATGGACAAAGTAGACAGACCCCTGTACAGAACCTCATAGAGAAGACACCGTATTCTGTTTCACAAGAGAGACTGTCTAACCGACATTATTCTCTGCTTCGATTTCCCTCTTGACATGGCCAAACCTTCAGCACATTGTGTTTACACATTACAATCTGATTTTGCCTATGCTATAAGGTACAAAAGGAGGAGCTGTGAGGACTTCCTAGAGACAGAGTTCTAATAAGCTTCAGGCCTTCAGAAGCCAAAGTGATGACAACCATGGGAATGATTAAAAGAATCCCCAGGGGAGGGTGAACAACAGCGACAGGAACTCAAGCCCTACAGGGTGATCTCCTGCTCCCCTCCTTGCCTAGTTAGAAGGATCATAGTTTTACTTTATTAAGAGAACCAATAGCATCTCTAACACCTATGATGAGCTTGTGGATCAAATAGCAATTCTCTGTCACTCACCTTGTGGATCACAGACCTTAGAAAGAATTTCCTTCTCCAGGTTCTGCAGGGCCTCAAAATTTACATCATGGTACACTTTGTCCTCGTCATTAGTGATCTCCAAAAGCTGTGATTTTTTGGCTTCTCCCACTCCAATGGCAAAAATAATTATGTTTTTGTCCCTGAGGGCTTTGGCTGGTATGATTACATTATCTTGGGCGACCCCATCGGTGATCACAATCAAATATTGTTGAACACTGGGTCTCCCTCCTTTTGAACTGTCAAAAAAAGGCAGAGTGAAATTCAGAGCTTTCCCAGTGCGGGTGCCATCCCTCATCTGCTGAACATCAAAGATGGCACTGTAAATGTCCACCTTTGAGGAGTATTGGTTGAGCCTGAATTCTTCCTGGGGGATTGAGCTGAACTGCAAAAGGCCAATTTGAATTCCATCAGTACCAATATTAGATTGGTTCACCATGCTCGCCACAAATCTTTTCATCTTTTCAAAGTCTTCTGGGGAGATGGATTCTGAACCATCTATTAGGAAGATAATGTCAGCTTTACTAGTCTTACAGGCTGGGGAAAAAGGAAACAGAACAGAACATTCATTAGGAATCTGAAACAAAAAAATAAAAAAAAAAAAAGAATCTGAAGCCAATTAATTACAAGTCCCCAGGGACAGTCTGGAATGGCATATAGAAAACATGAAAATATTTTAGAAGGGAGTAGAAGAGGAGTTCGATGAAACAAATATTCTGCAACCCAGCAAAGTTGCTCTGCAATTCAGAGTAGTCTCAAAATAAGACACAGCTGTATGATAAATATATAAAACTTGACCATCTTGCTTCATTCTAGGTTGTGGTCACTTTGAGTGTCCAATACTAAGCTGCCAACCAGTGAATCCATGATTAAAGAATGAAGCTGGCTGGGTGTGGTGGCTCACACCTGTAATCCTAGCACTTTGGGAGGCCAAGGCAGGAGGATTGCTTTGAGCCCAGGAGTTCAAAACCAGCCTGGACAACACAGCGAGATCCTGTCTTGGGTAAAAAAAATGCATAAAAGAATGAAGCTTATTTAAATAGATCAGGTACATATTCTTGGAGAGGTGGGAAAGGAGATTGAAGAAGAAAAAGTCTTACCCTCTGAAGAGCAGATGTCCTGTACCACTTCTTTTTGGATGTCCTTCAGTAAATCAAACTCATACACAAAAAATATCTTGTCTTTAGCTATTTCCTTAAGCTCATCAATGTTAGCTTCTCTTACTCCAATGGCATAAATGATAACTCCATTTTCTCTCAATCCCTCTGCAGCCTCAGCCACCGGGTCTGAAGATTTACCATCAGTGATGACTATAAGATATCGAGCAACATTGATTCGGCCAGTGTCTGCAAAAACCTGAGTCATGTTGTTCAAGGCCTCACCGGTTGCGGTGCCACCTCCCCCCTGCTGGATGTTATCAATGGCTACCTTCAGCTCTGCCACACTGGAATACTGGCTGAGGATAAATTGACTTTGAATTTTGTCTGAGTACTGAATGACTCCAAACTGTACTCTGTTGGGTCCAATCTGGAACATTTTTATCACTTCTTTCATGAACGCCTTCATCTCAAGAAAATCTTGTGGATTGATGCTGCCAGACCCATCAATAAGGAAGTAAATATCTGCCTTTTCGACGTGCACACAACCTAGGCAATAAAAAGAAGCAAGAACCCATCATAACAGAATCTGAGACGGTGAAGAACCTGAGCAATTGATCCCAATCTTCCCTCAGTACTCATTGTTCCCTTGGCGGCACCTGTGACTCTGCCTACAGGTACTCTTTGGCCAAGAGCATGATCAGCTGGCACACTAGGAAGACCAGAATGCCTGGGAGTCAGTCTAGAAGCAGCCACCACCCAATAACTCGCAGAGGTTGGTGGATAAAGACCCCAGCTCCCTTGTTCTTTGCATAGAACCACTCTAAGGTAAGTCCTGCATGGTTTCCCTGAGTCTCCAGTTGCCTGTAGCAATAACCTGTAGGTTACTCCTCACCCAGAATTGGTTCTTAAATCTCCACTTTCCTGTCAGCATCCCCTGGGATCACCACCCAGATAAATAATTTGCATCCAAATCGTTGTCTCAGAGTCTGTTTCTGATGAACCCCACTTAAGACATGAAGGAACTATAACTTGACATTTCTCAACTGGGGAAATTAAGGAAATGAAAGTAAAATCAGAGCACATTTGAAGCTATGAATTGTTTAAGATTCCATTATTCTCTGCCTCCCATCCAAGTTATACTTTTTAAGGACATGGGCAAAAGTGTGTACATCCTAAAATTTAATTTAATTTAACAATTTGACTTAAGTTAATTTAAAACATTCTCTATTAAATGAGTCTGAATTAGGAAACAACAGATGCTGGCAAGGCTGTGGAGAAATAGGAATGCTTTTACACTGCTGGTGGGAATGTAAATAAGTTCAATAATTATGGAAGAGAGTATGGTGATTTCTCAAGGATCTAGAGCCAGAAATACCATTTGACCCAGCAATCCCATTACTGGGCATATACCCAAAGGAATATAAATTATTCTACTATAAAGACACATGCACGCATATGTTTATTGCAGTACTATTGACAATAGCAATGACATGGAACCAACCCAAATGCCCATCAATGATAGACTGGATAAAGAAAATGTGGTACATATACACCGTGGAATACTATGCAGCCATAACAAGGAAAGAGATCATGTCCTTTGTAGGGACATGGATGAGGCTGGAGCCATCATCCTCAGCAAACTAATGCGGGAACAGAAAACCAAACACCGCATGTTCTCATTCATACGTGAGAGTTGAACATTGAGAACAGATGGACACTGAGAGGGAAACAGCACACACCAGGGCCTGTTGAGGGGTAGGGGGTTGAGCGGAGGGAACTTACAGGACAGGTCAATAGGTGTAGCAAACCTCCGTGGCACACATACACCTATGTAACAAACCTGCACATTCTGCACACGTATCCCATTTTTTTTAGAAGAAATTGTTTTTAAAAAGAGTCTGAATTAAATGAGTCACCTTGTGTTAAAGCCCAGTCTCCAGGGCAAGTGGCTCTACATTTAATCCTGTCTCCTTGGTTACTAGCATGCTTGGCCCCCATGCATCTCAGTTTCCTGATCTATCAAATGAGAATATTGACAGCTACTCAATAAGCTTATTGAGAGAAGACAGTAATATCATGTAAACAGAGCAGAGTTCAGTATTAAAGATGTAGAGTTAAGAGTAGCTGGTGTTTTATTTTGTCATCTAGTAGATTCCTTTAAAAAAAAAAAAATCTTTTCTCCAATCCCTCTCAATAAGGGCAGCCCAGCCTTGAGTTGTTAATCTCTGGATTCCCTTGACCCCAGGAAGGGCCTTTTCATTTTCTTGGCTGAAAGGTAAGTGGTCTGAGGTGAGAATTGGGCTCCCCTGCTCAGGTCTTCATGTGGGAGGACCTGGGTCCATGCAATATGTGGGGCATACTTTAAAAACCCTTGTTTATATGAATAAAATTCAAACGTAATTGAGTGTCCTATATTTTATCTGGTAGTGCTATCCTAGAGAGGCATGCATTGGAAAGAGGTAAATAGAAGCTATGATGATTTTACCAGAATTTTGTCTTGGATGATCACAATAATCATAATATCTACCATTTGTTGGTCATTTGTCATGTGTCAGATACTCTGCTAAGCACTTTATGTGTATGATTGATGTGAATGCTCGGCAACCTCCAGACTGTAAGAAATACTCTCTTTCTCTTTTCCCCCAATCTGCTAAGACTGACAAGAATGTACAGTGCAGGCAATATTTAGGGCCCTCAGCTCCTCTTGACAATCAAAGGGCCCTGGACTATAGTGAAGCCCCCTTGGGCTGCTCCTGTAGGGGCTGGCTGCAGAGATGCCCTTTCCTGCATAGTGGTCCTTTTCTCTGATGCTGGGCAGCCATCTTTGTGTCACCAGTGGATGCTGGGTCCCTGCAAAGTTTGGGTTTTTGCCTTATTTTTCCACAATTTCCACTTACTCTCCAGAATTCAGCAAACACTTACCATGGGGTAAATGACTCCTTTCTCTACCCGCTCTAAGCTACACTCCTTTCCAATGCATGCCCCTCTAGGATAGCACTACCAGATAAACAACCCTTCTAGACTCTGGGCTACTTTTTCTGATTGCGAGTTTCTTTTTAGCTTCTCTGCAGTATCAAAAAAAAAAAAACAAAAAAAAACAAAAAAAAACAACTCTCAGCTCTTCTTAAACTGCTAGTGCTCCTCTTCTGTCCTTCTCATGTACACAGTATAGGCAGGTAGGCACACGGAAATGAAACTCACATTCAAAAATTTTGTTTCTCATTCCCAGAACAGAGAAAGGAACTAAAAATATAGGTCAAAGAGAAAGATAGAAATTTGCTTAGATGTTTCAAATTTCTAGACCTCAGCACAAGTAATCAAGAAATTACCAGATAACTCAGTGTTTGTTTAACAAGAAAAAAAGCTCAGTGATTTTCCCTTGAAGACATGATTATAGCCTTGAATTTTTACCTCAATTATGTACATTTCAACGATTCTAATTTAAATCTATGATTCTAATTTGAATCTAAGAAATACTAGCATGGGTAAATAAAAATAGATAAGAAGACATACAGACACAAAGATTTTCATAACAGCCAGTAAGTGCCAAATCTAGGACTTAAAATTTGGGCATTTATATGCCAAAGTACATACGCTTAACCACTATGTTTTTTCTGCTGTGTGTGTTTTTTTGTTTAACTGCATATGTAGTAGGAACTCTCCTGAGCAACCTCCACTTTAGTGACTCACCAGATAAACCAATGTTCTCCCTTTCCTTTGTAAAGCATGAGTGATGCTCCCATAAAACACTGAGTGCCTGAAGTTCTGCTTCACCCAGTGAAAGAACAAGCTTACCAAGATGAGTGGGTTTGTCCCCAGCTTGTTTATGGTAGTCTTGTTGTTATAATTACATAATTAATCAAATATCGTGCAAATGAACAGGATTTGAGTGTGAGTAAAAGAGTTTTATTGCATCTATGAAAACCAGTTTAACTGCTTAGAAAAAGACTCAATAAAAGAAAGTTGTTTTAAAAAAAAATTGCCAGTGTACTAGACAGCATTACAAAAGATGGCATTTTAAGATTATAAAAATCAATAGCTATTTCTGTTTCTGTTTTGAATTATTTCAAAAGTCTTTCTCCTTTAAAAGAAACTGAAACTGGAAATTATTGATAACATAATATTGGATAGTTTAAAAAGAAAATACATGAAATCCAATCAGGAGGGCTCATACTCAAAGAAGCCTTGGCCCTATACCAAAAGATTGGCAAATTAGCATTCATTTATATGTATTAAGTTAATTTTTAAAATTTCAAGTATGTGAGAAACAATAGTTTCTGAGAAGAAAATAAATAAAAAAGAAAATAACATTTTAAAAATTCAAGTATGTTTGTACCCTTTTTAAAGTAGTTGCCTGTTTCAATGACTTAAGATTTGATCAGTCCACATTCAGTTTCTTAGGGCTTCTACTGTAAATATACACAGCTCTTCATCAAACTGTTAAAGCAGAAGGGGGCCAGGCATAGTGGCTCACACCTGTAATCCCAGAGCTTTGGGAGGCCAAGACGAAGGATCACTTGAGGTCAGAAATTCAAGACCAGCCTGGGCAACATAATGAGACCCTGTCTCTGCAATAAAATTATAAAATTAGCTGGGCATGGGGGTGCATGCCTATAGTCTCAGCTACTTAGGAGGGTGAGGCTGGAGGATCACTTAACTGGAGGAGTTCAAGGTTACAGTGAGCTATGATCGTGCCACTGCACTTCAGTCTGAGTGACAGTGTCAGATCAAAATTTACATATTTTTTAAAAGGGAGGAAGGATAAGATAGGAGGTGCTAGAAATGTTGCCTTTTTACTTCGTTTTCTCCTGCATTGTTTGGCATCAAGATAAACAAAGTTTCCGTTTCTGGTTTTTTAATGAATTGACTTCAAGATATTTTCTTTGTTGGAGGATAGAGGAGATGCGTACATGGAGCAACTAAAAAAAAACTTAAGAGAAGTTTTTTATTTAAAAATACCAAATTTGGAAAAGACCGTCCTACCTTCTTGTAGGGGATAGCTCATCCCTCTAAAGGAAACTTTACTGTCCACCATCTCAGAGCAGAGCTGGTTTATAAGCTTGCTTCGTACTACGGAGAGCTGCAAAAAGGATTCCAGAGGGACTGAATACTTCCAATGAGGATATGATGCTATCTTCTCCAGGTCCTTACTCTCTGAGACATTCTGGGTGCCCACTGCATAGATGGTGACGCCTGCCCTTCGGAGGTGAGAAGCGGGTCTAGATACACTGTCTTGGGAGAAGCCTTCCGTGATGACCACAGCTATCTGCTGCACACCGTGGTTGGACCGGCTGCCCTTCTCCTGAATGAAAACCTCGTTTCTCAGGAAATCTAATGCAGCACCAGTCTTCGTCCTTCCTCTTCTTTCCCGGTAGGTTAATTTGTCCAAATGCTCCAAGATTTTGGCTGGATTCTGAAATGTGTCCAGTGAAAATTCGAGTCGTGGTTCCTCACTGTAGAAGACCAAGCCAAATCTCACAGTATCAGGATGAATGCTTAAAGAACTGACAATGGTCTTCAGGAAATTGACAACTTGTTGGAAATTGGGTTGCCTAACCCTGCTAAATTCCTCAATGAGGAATACTAAGTCAGCCCGGATAGCAGTTGTGCATGCTGCAAACAAGCAAAATCAGAAAGAAGGGCTTTAGCATAAGAACAGAATAATAAAGACAACATTAATATATAAAAGCTGTATTATGATATATTTTATATGTTACATAATATATTTATTATTATAATTAAAATCATACTTATCATATGAACTTATATTTCTACATTTTAGAATTCAATAGAAGCCTTTATTTGGCATGACGGTCAAAGAACATCACAGGGTTCATACCTATTTCAGAAATTCTGACATGGAAGAGTATTCACATCACTTGCAAAATATTTAAATATATGAATATCGACAGTAAAGTGCTTCAAGATTGCTTCTCAATTTATCTAAGTCCACCAGAAGAATCTGAGTTTTGACTAATTTTTCTTCACTTTTCTAGTTTCAAGAGACCCTGGATCAAATTCTCATTTATAGGCCTGAAACCTCCTAAAAGATGAAAATTAACTGTGGCTGTTAATTTCTAAAGGTTTCTCTGATCAATGTCATGTCATTTTAACAGAGGCAGCCTGAAATGTTGCAAGTTTCTATGAAAAATCTTTATCCAAATATTAGGCTAGCTGGCTGTTTCATTTTGCTACAGAAGAACCTTCCCTTCCACTTACCTCATGTGAAGGAATAAAACATAAACTTGCTGCCAAGAAGAATGCAAACACCACTCTCTCTATTTGAAACAGTGCCTATTGCAGGGAAACCCACTGTGTCCACATAGTGTCAAGGTCCATATCTGCTTTGATCTGTGAAAAAGGAAATCTCCCTAGCAGAGAGCCAAAACCATACATGCAGAGGCTTGAAACCACAGTGTAAACAACTGAATATTGTGAAACAAGGTTTAGGGGCAATAGAATAACATTTTAACTTTCTCTTTTGTCTCTTGGTGTCCTGAAATGTCCCCTGTGGTCCTTTTTCACAAAGAATCAAAATTCAATCCTAGATTTTAAAGGAGGATGTTGTCCACAATTTTAGCAAGTCTAAAACACAGACTCTAGAAACTCCAGACATCTTTGACAACTCCCTTCCTTCACCTTCTTGTACCAAGTGCTGTTATTCTCCTTTCAAATTGTCTTCAGGATTCCTTCCTTTTCCTCATTATCAGAGTCACCCTTGGGCTGGGCCCAGACATCCTTTCCACGTGGCCAGATGACAGCTCAGCCTTAAAGTCCTTCTGAGTCTGAGGTGCCATTTGGAACCCAGCCTGCCTGCTGAAGGTCTCCTGAAAGACTGCTTTGGTCATGTCATATTTCTTGTTTAAAAGTAATTTCCAATTACTTCTAGTGTCTTTGGGATCCTGTAGTCAGGGTCTATCATACCTAATCCAATCTCATTTCACTAATTCTATACTCTTCCACTGATCCAAATTGGCTCCATTTTTAAACTTTCTTCCACATTCATCCAGACCATTCCCATTTCCACACCCTTACCAGGATGTAGACCCCTTACATGGTTCTTTCCCTTGCCCAGAGTACCCTCCTTCCTTCTCCTGTGTATTAAAATAACACCTGTTATTGAGGGACCAGCACAATTCCTTCCAGTTCACATCTTCTAGTATGCCCTCCTTTTCTACTATCTATCTCTACTTAATGTAGTACCTCCATAAGGTGTTTCTTAGTTCCTTATTACCGCTGTTTGGATTTTTCTCTTCTAGTTGTATATGTGTTTGTCTTTTTTCTGCCCATAAATTTCCAAGGACCCCAAGCTCTAGATGTTGATAGGTCTGGGCAGAGTTCAGAGAAAGGAAAAATTGGCCACTTCTAGTTGTAGGGCTCAAAGGATGCTTCATCAGGAGGGTAACTTAAGAACTGAAGGGTAAATTTTGACTGTGGGCATCACAGGCTGATATTATAGTGTATTCAAGAGCAGAGACAGAGGTGGGAAAGCATGATATACATACAGCAAATGATGAGTAGCTCAGCTTGGTGGGTGAATAGAATGTGTACAAAGACTTAGCAGGAGATAAGGCTCAGTGGTTCTCAGCCAAGAGTGGTACCTATCTACAAGGGACATTTTGGAAATGTATGGGGATGTTTTGGATTACCATAATGATTCAGGGATGATGCTGGCAGAAACTAGGGATATTAAACCTCTGACAATGCACAGGACAATTCTACACTATGAATTGTCCTAACCAAAACGCCATCAGTATCTCCCTTGAGTGTCTTGGATGCCAACATAAGGAAGTACTTTATCTAATCTATGGGGAGAAGCCTGAGTGCTTCTTCTCCTGGAAAAGGTATATGGTAATTTAGATTCTTACTCAGAAATATTATCCCCTTACTCCTTATTCCATGGGAAGATACACTTTTCTACTCTACTCATTTCAACATAGCCATATGACTTGCTTGAGTCGATGAAATGTTAGCAGATGATGGAGCAGAGGTTTGAGAAATGCTTATGCAATTGGTTTTCTCTCTGGTACCTCTGCAATTACCAGGAGAAGAATACGCCCAGACTAGCCTGCGGATCCCAGGAATAAGATAAGAGATATGTGGAGCAGAGCCAAACCTAGATCAACCAACACCCAGACAAATCCCAAATCTGTGAAGAGGCCCAGACAATATCAGCAAAGCCATTTGTTTGGGCCCAGCCAATATCAGCTGTTCCTCAACCATCTGTGAGAATAAATGATTCTTCTCAGTCACTGACTTTTCACCTGGTTTGTTATGCAGCATCATTGTGACCATAGTTAACTAAAACAAAATTGTGCCTGAGCCATCCCATGCTTCCTACTCTTTCCTGTCTGCTAGTGCTAGTGCCCCAGTACTGAGGAATCCAGAATACCCACCTTTTCTGCTCTTTCCCCAGACTTACCTCTTACACTGAGATCTCCCAGTGACTCACATATCCTCAGACCAAACCTTACCTCCTACAGCCTCCTCGTTGGCTGTAATCCTGTGCTGCTGCTGTCCAGTGCCTTGGATCACCACGTTCATATCTTCTACTATGTGTCTGACTTCATCTTCTCTCTGCATATCATAGACAAGGTCTGGAGACCCCATTCCTTCCAGTTCTCTCCTGTCAAAGTCCTGCACACCCACAGACATAACTTTCACGCCTTTCTCTCTTAGTCTCTGTGCAGCATCCTGGACTTCATCCTTAGATTTGCCTGAGTTAATGACCACTGCATACTGGGGAATGCCCTGGAGATACCGGCTTCCTGCTTCCTCCTGGAAGAATGTCTGAAGAAGGTATTGCAGTGCCTTGCCTGTCCTCCTGGAGCCACCCAGGGGCACAAAACGCTCATGAATGTGAGCTATCATCTCTTTCTGGTTCTTGTAGGTATTGAGCAAAAACTCAGTGTGACCTTGATCACCATACTGAGCCAGCCCAATTTGGTACTTGTCCCTGCCAACCTCTAGCATGCCAACCACTCTGGAGAGGAAATTCTGCATCCTCTGGAAACTGGCCCGTGATGTGTCCTGTGATGTGTCAGCAAGAAAGACCACATCTGCATAGGCTTTGATGAATTCTGGAAGTAAAGGGAAAGGGAGACCAGGGGGCCAGAAAAAGACAAAAGGAGAAAGTGAATCAAATCAAACTTTCACGAAAATTGAATACAAGGATGGTTTTGTGTGCCCAATGTGAGAGGTAGAGGTACTACAACTCTCTGTATATTGTACTTCCCTTCCTCTATGTAGGACTCTATCACAAGGCTTTTACTCTCTTATAGCCTACTGCCTTATTGTCTGTTTTATTACACTAACGTACCTTTCAATTACTCTTGTTCAAACAACAGAGGAGGCAAGGGAAGTTAACTGAGGACACACTTTATGCTAGAACTTTTTATACACTTTATCTGATTAAATCCTCATAAACCATTCTTCTAGACTAATATTATTTTCTTCGTGCAGATAGGAAAATTGAAGTGAAAAAGTGAAGCCACTTGTCCTTGCTCACATAACTAGAAAGTGGAAAAGACAGGATTAAAAAACAGGTCTTCCGACTTTCAAAACCCATGCTGTTTCCTTTGAACGACATGGCAAGATGCTCCTTTCTACCCACAAGAACTCCATCCAACCTTCAATGCCTTCTCCTACAAAGTCTCCCCAGCTTCTCCAGTGATGCCGGGCACTCCTTGCCCTCCCATACACCCAGCATATTCTGGGTTATATTGTAGTGAGCTGGCATGGTTGGAATCTTGGGTTCTAACACAGCTTCTTACCTTTTATCTTACCCTCCACTGCTGAGCACAGAGTCTGAAGAATACTTCCTGAAAAATCCTGCAGGATATTGAAGTTTTCGGTGTTGAAGAGAAACTTCTCAAATGGTTCACTGGCTATTTTTTGCAACTCTTGGACATCCTGGACATTGACCCCTACCACATACACAACAACTCCATCTTCTTTCAACCGGTCAGCCACCTCCTGTACCTCATCGTTTGACTCCCCATCTGTCACCAGGATAACTATCTGAGGAACTCTGTCCTTGGCCCGACTGCCAGACTCCTCAGTCAAATAGTTGGTCCTGATAAACTCCAGGGCGCTCCCTGTGTTTGTGCCTCCTGTGCGGTATGGCAGATTCTGGATCTGCTCCAAGACCATGCTCTTCAGAGGGTGCTGGTTCAGCTGGAAGGCTGGGTAGATGTTGTCATTATACTGGGCAAGTCCCACTCGGACATGGTCACTGCTGATGTCAAGCCCCAAGACGACGGAGTAAAGGAAGTTCTTGACTTTCTGGAAGTTTTGGGGTCCGATGCTAGTTGAACTGTCTACTAGAAACACAATGTCTGCCAGGGCTGCTTCTCTGCAAGCTACAAGAGAGATGGCAGAAGGGATTAGATTACTGGATCTTCACTCAAAATGCTTTGAACCATTGAACCAATGGTTCAAACTGCTTGGAACCAATGCAGAAAAGAATAATGACAGACAGCCTATACTCAGTGGTCCTCAGACGCTACCCTCACCCCAAATGACAGTGTGCTCAGAGCAATAACATTAACATCCCCCCATACCTTTCCTTCTCTCTGCTCCATCACCTTCTGAGATTTCAGACCTGCTCTACTGATACTTCCAACCTTGAAATCCACTTAGACAATCCCTTAAATTTTATTAAGAAGAAAAGCACTCTGTAAATTAAGCAACATGCTAAGAAAAGGAATGCATTCTTTCCAGTCAGAAAAAGCCATCAGCCTCCTATCTTTTGACAAAGAAACCTCGTATCTAGGAGTGTGCTCGCACCAGCAGGTCAGAAGCTAGAATATATCCTATGTTCCTTGACACATCTTATTGCAGCTCTATCATTTAATAGCTCTGTGACCTATTTATCACTCAACTCTTTGGGACTTAATTTTCTTCTCTGCAGCACTGAAATATTTACACCAACCCTCATACTCTCCCAAGGTTGTTTTGAGGATAAAAATAAGATAATCTACTATAGCAGACAATGTCATGCTCTGCTCAGTTCTTTTGGATTTCTTTTTTACCATTCTATGCACTGCTCTTTGGAAAACTACCCCCAGCTAATGAAGCTACTTTTCTCACAATATTTAAAAGCCCAGATCCTTGCTTGACCCAGATTCAGGGTCAAGACAACTTTGAGACATAATGTACACCAAGTTCCCCTGCAGGATCAGGCTAAAACCCTTTACAGAATTTTTGCCTGAAATCATACCCTTCCTTACTTTTCTCTACTGCTCTGTCCTGAATACCCCACATCCTTACTGACCATTGCCCCGGGAGCTCTTCCTTAGCAAATCTTGTGTACGCAAATTCTTGTTTCAAGCTCTGCTCCCCAGGAATACAACCAAACAGCCCTGCTCTGGTGGAATGGGTCTGCTCTAAAAGATCTGGGATCAAGTCCCTAGTTCTGCAATCCACTTGAGGTACCTTTGGCCTCATTTTTTCTCATCTAAAAATGCAAACAATAATACTAATTACGCTATGTATCTAACAAACTTGAGATGATCAGTCAGATGAGCAATGTAAATAAGCTTTGAAAACTATGCAGCGCCAGACAAATAGTAGCTATTATTACTCTGAATATAAAACCTCTTTGTAAACCTCGAAGTGCCGTACAAAAGGAAGATATATAATATACCACACACCTGCTGCATCAATGGGTCAAAAGTTTTAGCGCTTCTTCCAATTAACATACCCTATACAGAAATACCAAAATAATGAATAAAACATGAAGAGTCTGTCCTCTTGTGGGTTTTGATGGAACCCACAAGCATTCTTCTCTTTCTCTACTCAAAGTTGTATGCTTTATTATGGAGTTTAGTAATTAATTTGTAAAGAATTTTCACCATTTTATGCCCTATTACCAATAGAAGCACAAGGTTGATGACAGGTATATCATCATCACAGGTTATGACAGGTAATAACAGGAAATGCTTACGAGTCCCTCTGGTTGGCCAGGTATAGTGCCAAGCACTTTACTTGTACAATTTTGTTTAATGCTTTTAACAACTCTCTGAGGCAGGTACTATCATCCTAGGGAGAAAATTTAGATTCAGAGAAGTAAAGTAACTTGTCTTAAGATGACCCTTTCTCTACTTTGTAAGATTTGAACACAGATCTTTATTTTCCCTAAATTAATCATCCTAACCAGTATATTAAACCAACAGACTTGCAGTTAAATTAGCAAACATCCTAGGGGAACTACTGCCCCTCTCCCTTCTCGTCCTTCATCCAAGCAACATGTGTAAGTTAACCTAGGAATAATAATGTCATTCTAGAAACAAATGAACCTTCATTCAAAAAGGGAATTATACTACATCAGTATATAGAAGCAGCATAAGGCCCACAGGATTTATAAAAAGAGTTGATGAGGCTTTGGTCAGTGATTGAAGAGGAGCATAGGGTTGACTTCATGAAATTTTAATTTTAAAATTAAGACATGCACACGTATGAAAAATAAAAAGATGGGCAGAGGGATGAATAAGAGATCAAGCTTTGAGTTTCATGACTTCCAGATCGGAAATAAAAAAGAAAAAGCCTTTGTACCTGGAGAGACGTGGTCAACACGTGGAGCTGCCTTTGCCAACATATCACAGAGCTCCTGCCGCAGCTTCTGGGCGAGATTGCTCAGACCAGAGAAGTAAGGAACAAAGGAGGTAAAATTCTCCTGAGGACTACTGGCAATTTCCCTGAGCTCTGCCCAAACTGCATCTCTGACGCCAATAGCATAAAGCAGGATGCCTGCCTGCCTCAATGCCTCCGCAGGTCCATGGACGTGGTCCTCAACTGGCCCACTGCTGATCACCATGGCGATCTGAGGTACCCCTTGGCTTGCCCGGCTCCCTGATGCTTCCTGGAAGTGGTGGTCTAGAATAAACTTCAGGGCCAGGCCCATCTTCTTGCCCCCAGGCTTAAATTTAAACTGCCGAATGTGTCTCAACACATCAGCTTTGCGGTGGTAGGTGGAAAGCAAGAACTCTGAATGGGGCACATCGCTATACTGGGCCAGACCCACACGGATGGTCTTGCTGCTGACATTGAAACTGTTTACCAGAATGTACAAGAAGTTCCGCACACTGCGTGCATGTTGGGGGTTGATGTTGGCGTCCACCAGAAACACAACATCTCCCAGAGAGGCCTCCCTGCAGACTGGGAAAGAGAATCACTTTCAGATAAAACATCACAAATGACAGTTACTGGATGGAATCCCATCGCTCCAGACTCCGTGCCTTTACTCCCCACAGATCTGCCTGCACAGCATGCAGCCTAGACACACCATCATCTTCCCTTGCCTTCCTATGGCTACCATCTTCCCCTGCTCACCTGTCTGTCACTCTCTGTTCCATTCTGATAGACATTTGGCCCTTCAGTTAGATCACCCATCCTGCTTTCCATTCATCCCTTGACCTAAACAAAAGAACCCAATTTTCTACCAGTAGTGGATGCTATTGGTACCCACCTAGATTGCCTTTACTCGTTGGCACACCTATCCCCCAGCTGCTTCAAGCGCTACCTGTGACTTTCTCCAGAGTCCTAACCTTGGCTGAAGGGAGTGACTTCAATTGGAGACACCTGAGAAGTTACACCACTACCACCACCCTGGGTGGCCAATGTCTAATCGACATGGAGACACAAATGCCTGGCCCACTTGCCTTCAGTGAAACAACCCTGCAGTGTTATTTAGACTCCATCACCACCTCTCATGACTCAGGCCAAGGTTTAACATTACCTATCCTCTTCATCCCCTACTCTAACCCTCTTCTCGTACTCCTTTACAGACTTTTTTCCCTAAAGAGTACTTTCTCAAAATAATGCGTTCAAATCCCTGTTCCAAACTCTGCTTCCAGGGAACCTGACCTAAGACATCAACTTTCCAGCTTTGACTTCTGTACTCCCTGGCCACCCACCAGCCCCTTTTAGTTTGATCTTTGGCATTCCTGTAGGTATGGTTCACATTTGTCTTTTGGTTCCCTGAACTCAAGCTGCACTATGCAGCTACTTCTCCCCAACCCCAGCTACAAGCCTGGAAACCACCATCTCAACAATGGCCAGGTCCACTGGTACCCCACCTGGGCCCATCCTGGCCTCCAGCATGGAAGAGATCAGACACTAAGTGGCTACAGGACTGGAGCAAATCTCTAATCCTCTGTATCTCAAATAGTGTCTCTCTAGACTAAAGAGTTGACCAGATGCCCTGCTGTCTTCCAACTCAAACTTTGCTTTTCTATGATAAGAAGTACAATGTGGATTAAGTACGGTGCATGTGTAGATAAAAAGAAGAGGTGATTATGATCGATCTATTTGTCAACAATCACTATGATTTCTCCCCACTCCTACACCTCCCGATTTGATTATATATGATGGTGGGAGGAGAACGTAAATTAGTAATGAGAATAAAAACAAAAGCAGAAACCAGCTAAAAATGACATTAGTTCAAAGTAGCTGAAAAGCCAAAAAAAAAAAATGATTTTCCCACATTGGTTAAAAATGTCTTGCACTTGGTTTTGTGCCAGGAGGGCTAAAATACTGAGCTAGGCTGGCCCTGCACTGTCCCTGCAGCCTCATCTCTCTGCCCTCCCAACCCGGCCTCACCCTGCACTGTCCCCGCAGCCTCATCTCTCTGCCCTCCCTACCTGGCCTGGCCCCGCACTGTCTTTGCAGCCTCATCTCTCTCTGCCCTCCCCACCTTGCTATCAGTTCCAGGCTCCCTAGTCCAGTGTCTCCAATTTTCCATGTTCCCACTTGCCACTGCACTTTAATATGCTCCCTTTCCTCCAAGTTTCTCTCTCTCTCTCTTATTTATTTCTCTATTTATTTTTGGTAAATTCTCATAGGATCGTGTTCTTTTATCTTTGTTTGTAATGTAATGTTCATGATTGTGCTTATTTAATTAATGGCAATTTCCCCAACTAGACTGTGAGCTCCATGAGAACAGATAACCATGTATTTTGCTTGTTTGTTCACCACATGAGCATCTAGCATAGATACCCAAAAATATTGAGGAAGGAAAGAATAGAGGAAAAGAGAGAAAGGAAAGATACAGCACTTATAAGGGTGGAGATCTTGAACATTAATGAAAACAAATAATGGAATTAAAATTTTAGTGCTAGAAATAATTATGTGAGACTGTATCTGCTAGACATGTGGCAACTGAGCACTTGAAATGTAGCTAGTATAATGGAAACTGAACTTCATATTTTACTGAATTTTGATTTATTTTAATTTAGAGAGTCACATGCAGCTAGTGGCCACTGTATTAGACCACACAAGTATAAAATAAGGAATCCAATTTAGCTATCTCACAGAGAAGGAAAATGAGACCTGGAAAGGCAAAATAACTCATGTATATCCATTCAAAGAGCCAGAATTAAGACCCAGGTCTCCTCATATCTAGTCCACACCCTGAACTGCCATGAAGATTAAATTAGAAATCCGTACTACAGAAAAGCAAAGACCAAGTGAGGGTCTAGGCAGAGAGGGTCTGGGGAGGTTGGTATAATCCACGGACACTTAATCCACTTATCACTTCTGGAGTTCTGTGTCCCACCTCTCAGAAGTTTGCATAATGTTGGCCATAAAGCCAAGTGGAACCTGATCATGGGAAAGGCAGACAATAAATGAACTTCAGGTCCTTTAAGCTTTATTTCCCTTCAACCCTCCAAAGTGCAGTCTTACTGGGAGGAGAGAATTCAATGACTGTTCCAGGGATGGCTGACTGGCTTGTCCCCTTAACATCTCTTTCAGGGGTGATCAAATGCAAACCACGAAGTGTTCCCCTGATCTTTCAAATCAGAGGAAACCACACAGCTGTAGAATATTTTCCAGGCAAGTAAGTTTCAGTTACATCATATGCAACTTGAGAGATGTACTATACTTTCATAGATTGTCACTTTCTTAACCCCTCCACTAGTTCTTTGTAGTTTTAGAAGGTGTTTGAAACATGAAAAGACTGTCACAGCTTCTGTTCACAAGTGAAGGGAGCCAGAGCCAAAAGGAAAACTGAGAGAGCTTCATGGGGTTTTTTTTTCCCCAACAAATAACAGCCTGTGTAATTATATTTGAATATTTAAACCTCAATATTGTCTCACTGGGACTTCAGGCTACTCAAACAATCTTCTCCTGATGAGACTTTCATCTTGAAAAGTACCAACAATCTATTAAAATAACTCCAAAAAATTGTAGCTGTGTCACTAGCACTCAGTAAAGCTATCCATCTTGTGATGATAATTACTCCTCGGAACAGCTCTGCCAAAGAGAAAAGACAGAATGCAGAACAGGCTCCTGTTTACAAAAGCGTTTGAGAACCTGGTAACACATTTCAGAATATGGAACTTTTTAATATCTATTTTTTTGTCATTTGGGGTTAAGTACTGAAAAAACAAGTGCCCACCATTGACTATAAGCTTTCAGATTCTCACTAAATTCTCCTTCAAGGAATCAGTTTCCTCTTATTAATTACAAAGCTTCTGTAATATTTCCTTTTAAGATGGTCACTACCACTAGATCGTTTTCAGCTTAAAGAAACCCAGGTATTACCAATACTCTGTGACTTGATGAAGCCAAAACCAGTTTCAAGGAGGATGATCCCCCAAAATATCTTCCAAGTCTCCATTCTAGATGTGGACCTAGGGAAAAGAAGAAACCTTATAATTAAAAAATGTGCCTTCACGCGCTTAAAATGTGTCCATCACATTGACTAAAAATTATACCTCATGAAATTGATTTTTTTTAAAGCATAAAGATGTCTTTCCCCACATCAACATAAGCTTTATCAAAATAAAGAGGGAAATGTTCCCACATTGTTTCAATTGTGCAAGGAAAATGGTCTTGCTGATCCAACTCAGGAAGAATTTTGTAAACACCCAGAGTATACACCTCAGCCTTCACTATTTAAAGTTTTCCAGATGTGGCTATAAAAGGAGAAAGCATACAGGACATGGCATAGAACTTCCATTTCACACACTGCATTCATTTGGTGGGTCATAAACATTTCTGAATGATTTCGTTTGTATATTTATGCAGGAGTGGAATGACCTGGTAAACAGTTGTGGCATGCTAAAATATTCAAGTATCTCAGGAGCACATCTGCCTGCTCAAATAAGCCTGGTCTGAAAATAACTCATACATTCTCAAAAAAAAAAAAAAAAAAAAAAAAAAAAAGCTGAACATCAGACCTCCCTCCCCAAAGCTTAAATCCATTTCCAAAGGGGTCCATGGAAATTGTCTATTCTCAATTCCATTTCTACTTTTTTTACTCTAAGAAAGTCCATCTGTTTGAAAATAAGAACGTAATAATCCCATTGAATGAGAGGTTCCAAGTGGAACAGGGAATACCTCATCTTTATAATCTTGGTCAGCCAACCTCACAGCTGTCTTCTGCAGAATGTATGTGGTTAAAAAGCAAGGACTCTTGGAGATAGACTGCCTGGGTTTGACTCTTTGATCCAATACTTAATAGTGGATCTCAGCCAAATTGCTTCACTTTTCTGTGCCTTGGTTTCCCCATTGGTAAAATAGGGGCAATAATAGCACCTACCTTATAGTGTTATCAGGATTGAGTTCATTATTGTAAAACACTTTACCCATTCCTGACACACAGAAAGCACTCTTTAGGTGTTTGTTAAATAAAGTAAACCTTCTTGGAGCCCCAATATTTTGTAAAAGTTCAAAAGAATTCCTCCATGTCTTTGCTATTGTGAATAGTTAAGGCACATTCTTAAACAAACCAAAGAGTTGAAGCAAGAATCTCTAGCATGTCTAAATCACTTCCTAGTCTTGGGTTCTTTAAATAGAATATTGTGTGGCAGTGATCATCACAACACCCAGGAATAGCAGACACCCAAAAGCTGCGTTTCTCTTTCCAGAAAGTGTTAAGTGCAACCAACCCAATTCCCTAAAAACACATCACTACTGTTCATGCTCAACTTACTCCTTAAGAGGGATTCAAAAATCTGAGATAACCACATTTATTTTATTCACTTTATTATTTACACCAAGAGAAAATACTGGGAGAAGTCTTGACTTTAAAGGAAGACCACAGGCCTTGATTCTGGTTTAGGCTTGGCTATTTTCTCTGCAGACCTAAGCACGCTGTTTCACCTTTCAGGTTTTATGTGATCAATCTAGAGGGCTTAGCACTGATTTGAGTCAACTACTATATTGAGCACTATATTACAAACATGTCCCTGGGAATTGGTCCAGTGTTTTTCCAGAAAATAGATGTGCAGAAATTAGATTTCTCTGTTCCTCAGTTTCTACATAACCTCCCACTAGTGCCTCCTCCCGGAGGTGTATAAGTAATTAAAGGAAAGATACTTTAAGACTTTAGATAGCCGATCCTTCAATAAACTTTTACCCAAGGGTAAAAAAAAAAAAAAAGCATGAATCTTAAGGAATAGATTGCCCTAGTGAATTAAGAACTGTATGAGGGTAAAGAGCTTGAGAGTCTGAAGGTGTGAAAAATGATCCAAAACAAATTAATGGATCATCGTCATGATCATCATCATCACTGCAACAAAATATTACACTTCCAATTTTGAAACACTTGGATTAATAAAGTTACTGGAAAAATAAAATCTTTAAGTAAAGGTTTTATTATATAAAACCTAAATATAGATATTATGTCTACATTTTCATTTTCCATTATGTCCCAATTATTACTATTCATGCAATTAGTCATAAAAAATAAGTATTTTTAACTAATTGCAAATAAAGCTCTAGAGCTGTTTATGAAACTAGTGGGAAACTCAAAATGATAAACATTTATAAATAGTTGTAAACAGCTGTGCATGTCTGTGTTATAGCAATGAAGAGTTAAGTTTCTATGTATTAAGGATTTAATATCTACATGATATGTACTATTTCATTAAGATGTTTATATCTTAAGCTGCAGAAGAGATTTTGCATTTGAACACATGGGACTCCTTATGGAGGCAAGAAATAAAGTCATTAAATTAAATGGAATTAGATAGGGATAGCATAGAATACTGATTCTTTCTGGAAATAACTTTAATAGTTTTGCAATAGAAAGGATTTCTCTCAAAAATATACTGCTCAAGTAGTTAACTAAAACAGTCTCTTTTTTAAGCTTCATTTATTCAGTTTAAAAATTACTTCACAACTGCCATAGTAACAATTGACTCAGGAAGAATCATCAGAGATTGCTAAAACCATTGGGTAAAAGTTTATTACATAACAGAATATGAATATATTTTCAAAGTATCTTCTGAAAAACTACCTAGAAATTACAAAGGGCAAAAAGTACCATTACAATGGAGAAACCTGATGGACATGACTTAACCAAGTGATCAATTACATCAATAATAACAGGATAAACCAACATCATCTACCTCCTGATGTTATGCATGAGAAAACTTAACACCACTTATATAGTATTTCTCCTTAAAATCCATGACCTAAATCTGATAATGAGAAAACAATCACATAAACCAAAACTTTAAGACAGTCTAAAAAAAACCAACCTGTGCATCTCAAAAATATTAATGTCATGAAAGACAAAGCAAAGGAATTGATTCAGATTATAGGAGTCCAAAGAGACATGACATATAAAGGCAATTCATAATCCTGATTTGGGGGAAAAATGCTATAAAGGCCATTGAATGAGACAGTAGACAAAATGTTAATATGGGCAGAATATTATATAATAATATTGTATCAAGGTCATGGTGAAACCCGTTTTCTGCAAAAAAAAGACAAAAAATATTAGCTGGGCATGATGGTGCATGCCTGTAGTCCCAGGCATGAGGTGAGAGAACAGCTTGAGCCCAGGAGGCTGAGGTTGCAGTAGTCGCACCACTGCACTCCAGCCTGAGCAACAGACTGAGACCCTATCTCAAAAAAATACATCTATATACTGTATCAATGTTAAATTTAATAAATTTGATTACCGTGTTGTAGTCATGTAAGAGAATGTCCTTCTTATTTAAAAATACACAGTGATGCGTTGTGGAGCAAAGGGCCATACTATCAGCAACTTACTCTCAAATGCTCAGCAAAATTATAATGATTCATAGAGAGAGGAATAAAGCATTGCAATACATTTGCAACTTTTTACTGAATGTTTATTGTTTGCCAGACAAAACTTCAGGCACTAGAAACAACAGACTAAAAGAAACCATTATTTTCCTCAGAGAACTAGTGGAAAGAGAGATGGATAAATTGTAATATTGTGGGATAAGCAAATAATATAGAAAGCTATACAAAGTGCTGAGGAATATGGTGGGTGAGCACCTGTGTTCACCTGGGTGAAGAGTTTACAGAGCAGATGATGCCAGAGTGAAGACTTGAAGGATGAGTAGAAATTTGCAAGTGAGAATGTGAAGAAAGGGAGTTCCAGGAAGAAGAACAGTAGGTACATGCAAGAACACTGGAGAGGTACTAGACACTCCAAATACAGCTCGCCCACAGATTCAGGAGCTCAGGTTTAGGAGTGCTGGGGATGTAGTTAGGCCTTCGTTCAAGATCGTGACCTATGCTGCCCAAGCTCTTAAGGCTTGATAAGTCTCATGGAGATCTTTGGTTTTCTGAAATGACTGAACTTAAAAGATGGGACAGAAGAGGGGACCTGAGCAGAATTCCTCAGTCTTCACAAATAAACCTTCTTAACTTCATTTAATTAAATTAGCAATGCTTTATATACCAGTCTCCTTCAAGGTTTTTGTTCTTCCTCTGTGGAATGCTCAACTATAAAATATGAAGATTCCATCTCTAACATCCTATGCCAGTGACTCTTAAACTTCAATATTGCATCAGAGTAACCCAGAGGACTTGTTAAAACTCAGTTTGTTGGACCCTACCTCCAGAGTTTCTGATTTAGTAAGTGTAGTGTCAACCCTTAGAATCTGCCTGCTGAGGTGGTCTGAGGAACCATATTTCAAAAACCATTCTTTAGACTGGGCATGGTGACTCATGACTATTAATCCTAGCACTTTGGGAGACCAAGGCAGGAGGAGTGCCTGAGCCCAGGAACTGGAAACCAGCCTGGGCAAAATAAGAAGACCCTGTCTCTACAAAAAATAATAATCATAAATAAAAAATAGCCTGGTGTGGTAGTGTGTGCCTGTTGTCCCAGCTTCTCAGGAGGCAAAGGTGGGAGAATTGATTGAGTCCAGAAGTCGAGGCCGCAATTAGCCATGATCATGCCACTGCACTCCAGCCTGGATGACAGAGAGGGAAGGGAAGGGGAAGGGAGAGAAAAAGAAAGAGAGAGAGAGGGAGAGGGAGGGGGGGAGAGAGAGAGAGAGAGAGAGAGAGAAAAAGAAAGAAAGAAAGAAAGAAAGAAAGAAAGAAAGAAAGAAAGAAAGAAAGAAAGAAAGAAAGAAAGAAAGAAAGAA